CGGACGGACAGACAGACGGGACGGCGACGGACGGACAGACGGAACGGTCAGACGGCACGGGACGGCGACAGATAGACAGACAGACCTGACGGCGACAGACAGACGGACGGCGGCAGACGGACAAACAGACAGACGGCCAAAGGGACAGGACGGCGACAGACAGACCGACAGACCGTAGAAGAAAAGTTCTGACTCACATCGTATGTCAAACTCGTGGTAGGTTGAATTTATAGTTTTCAACACTACTTTCATTTAGGTGGAGTCTCGTTGGCAGTTAGATGTCCGTCTGCGGATCGGAAGGTCGTGGGTTCGCGTCCAGACGGAGCAGGACTTTTTTTTTTCAACAATGACCCTGACTTCCAGATTGGCCCAGCCTTAAGTGGGTACCAGGTGCAATCCTGGTAGGTAAAGACGGCCAGCGTGATGCTTACCACATACACCCACCAAGTGCCGACTGGTGTATAAAAATATAGGTCTAGCCCTATATTCCTCATAGGCCTAAAGGCGTGTCAAGGGACCTTCACTTTTACTTTTTAACTTTCATTTAGGGAGTCGCTGTGGTCTAGTGACTAGACGCTCGCCTGCAGATCAGAAGGTTCAAGTCCTGACGGTACCAGACTTTTTTTCTCTCCAGATATGTCCTTGGCTCCTAGGTCAACCCAGCATTATGTCCATGTGGAGACCTGGTAACTCAAGGTGGCCGGCGTGATGCTGACCACATCAACCACTAAGTGCCAATTGGTCTATAAAATATAGGCCTAGCCCTATATGCCCAATAAACCTGAAGGCTACTTTAATTTAATTGTAAAACAAACTGTATATACCCTTTGAGTCCCAGGGGGTTTAGCATCACAGGCTTAAGGGGTAGTGAAGAGAGACTAAAATCGACTCATCATGCATTAATGGGTACGAACCTATGAATGTATGATGCGTTTTTTGGGACTCAGAGATGAGCAACAACAAAATCTTCAATCTGTTTATGTATAATGTAAAACATGCAAAGTTCAGGAAACCTCAGAGTGTGGCTTGCTTATTTTATTTTTAATACATTTATGTTTTTGTGGGCGTAAGTGCGTCATTAGTCGAAATTGATGCATAAGGCAGTACCAGCGAGAATGCAAATGTCTGTACACCAGAATTACACATGCCATAAATATTTTTGGCGGGTTTTTGTTTCAAATTAGGCTTAAAAAAAAAAAATTTCCATCTGCTGAGGGACTTTGAAAGTACACGAGTTCTAATGCTATTCTGCCAGGTTTTGTCAGGACCGGATGTCTGACCCTAGCATGAGTAAAAGAGACAAGGGTTGAGAAAGGGGTTGTAAAGCTTTAAAAAAAGTATATTTCTTCTCTTGCTCCATCACAGGGAAAAAAAGGGGAGGGGAAAAGGGGTGGGGGGTGGGGGTTGGTTAGTGAAAGAGGAGGGGGGAATATAGAGAGAGAGGGAGAGAGAAAGAGAGTACTATCCCTTGCTTATATTGTACATCGCAACCTTTTGAAGTAAATTCAGGGGTAAGAGAGGGATGTGTGCCATCTCCCCAGCTTTTTATAACATACATCAACAATATATGCAAAGAAGCAGAGAGCGTTTTCTTAAGAATATCTTAGAGGTTATTTGCAGATATTAATAGCTGAAACAGAAGAGAGTTTTTGGACCTTATAACACCAAGTCAGTGTTAGAAATATATGAGGATAAGCATTGATAAGACAGAGGCAGTGGTAATAAGTAGACAAGAAGAAACCAAATTAATTAAAGAAATAATACAGAAATAAAAAAATCAGCGAATTTAAATATCTAGGGTCATTTTACACCTCAGATGGGAGAATGGATAGAGAAATCAACATACGCTGTGTGAAAGCAAATCATCTTATGGGACAATTAACACCGCTTCTGACGCATAGAAAGATACCTCTGTCAACCTAAGCAAATCTCATGAGAACGGTTTTTTGGCCAATATTGTGCTACAAGTGCCCTTCCTAGAATTAATGAACGGAAGATCGTAACAGATGAGATGTCTTAGGAGAGCTGCTGGACAAGAAGAGATAAAATCAAGAATGAAGAAATTAGAAGACTAGGACTGAAATCAGTCATACAATTCATTAAAAAGATCAACAAATGAGATGGTTTGGCCACCTGAAAATGCCCAGGTACCAGCTGCCACGCTGAAGAAATATAATGAACACAGAGCAAGAGGAAGACCATGCAAGTGAGACATCAGGAGCAACCTAACAGAAATGAACACCAGTTTGTACAAAACATTATAAAAAGCACACAAACAATCTTTACATCTTGCCCCAACAACTTGCTGAGGTAATTAGTGGAAGAGAAGAAGAAGAAGTTCATATTGTAAACTCCAGTCTTTTCCTACTGCTGCTTCTCTTCCCCCATTCCCTATATGGAAGTTGTAAGATCTTCTTTGTGCTCTTTCCTGGTCTGTATTGCCTTAAGGTAGTTATTGATGCTGTTATTCCATCTTCTGTGTGGTCTTATCCTCTGTGTGTGTTCACTGCATTTCTTAAACACTGCTCTCTGTGGCAGGGAAGTCTGGTCAGATGGCTGCTCCTTAATAAACTATATGACTGGTTTCATACCTAGTATTCTTCTAATTTTCTTTTTTAAATTTTCAATTCTTTCTTTCTTGTTAAATTGCCAGCTTTGCTGAGGTATCTCTGAATTCCTTAGTTTTTTTTAAAAATTTATTAAGGGTCCAAGTTTGACACCGGTAACATAAAGCTTGCCAAAAATAGTTCTTATTGATTTCTAAGTGTCAAAAGAGGTGTAAGTATGTTGAATCAAGACTTGACATCACAGGTATCGGGACAACCCCATAAACCCTTCCCTTGAGTCACTAACTTTGAATGGGAAGTCAAATAATCAACAACAAAAAGATATAGAGTTGCAGATGTTTAATCTCTTAATCAGATAAACAATGAAGAATGAACAAATCAGCATTGACGCTGTAACGTACTGGCTGGGTGATTAATATTTATAGTAATATGGGCACGAAAAGTATGTAAAATTTTTTTTCAAATCCAACAAAGAATGTTTATAAACATCTACAATATGATCTGATAATGAGCCAAAAAAAAAAAAAAATGTTGGAACTAATGACAAGGTGCACTATTTGTTGTTTATTGTTACATGTTTGTCACACCTAATTTTCATATTTACGTCTGAACACAGGAATCTATTCACTTGAGGGTTTGAAAACATCAAAATAATATGTTACAATTATAACCGTGTCGAATTTGTGTGTATAAATGTATGAGAATGTGTACGTATGCGTTTTGTATGGATTGGTGTGTAGATATATATATATATAAATAACATATTTTTGCAACATGGCTTTAAACCCCCCCCCCCCCCCAAAAAAAAAACACAAACAAAAACCGAACACAAAAGCTGAACCAATTTAACAAACAAAAGTGATCCCTCTCCAAGACTTGAGGTACTCGACCCATATTTGTATAGACAAAACAGCCCTTCATGTGTATACTATGCCCTTTAGCCAGTGAGCTCAGATCAACTATTAAAAAATCTGTCCCAGCATGACTTATGACTTCAGGGCCAACAGGCAAGAATTCTAGCAACAACCCCCCATAATTATAATAAATTCAGTGTTTGGAAGAGTCAATCTTTATTTAGCACTAATATGTAAAACGGGTGAAATCAATTACAAGGAATAAACTTGAAAAGATGGAAAAGATGGTTTCATGGAAAAAGAGCCAGTACCTGGATGGCTTTGAAACATAGGCATAAACCATTATGTTGCTCATTGTGTTGGATAACAAAACATCACCACCTGCATTTGTTTCTAGAGAGTTTATTTTTAGAAAATAAAACTACAGTAGTAAGTAAAAAGTAAAGGTCCCTTTTCCATGCCTGTAGGCGTATAGGGCAAATAGGGCTAGACCTATATTTGTAAAGACCAATTGGCACAAGATGGTTTATGTGGTCAGCATCACGCCGGCCACCTTTACTTCCCAGGAATGTACCCAGAACCCACTCAGGGCTGGGTCGACCTAGAAGTCAAGGTCGTTTTTGAAAAAAAGTCTGGCACCGCTAGGCAGTGAACCCACGACCTTCTGATCCGCACACCAGCATCTAGCCGCTAGGCCTTGGCAGATACAGTAGTACCACTGTGTGGAAAGTTAATTAGTATCCTTTACAGGATGTTGCAGAACCAACCCCAGCATTTTTTGGCTACTGTGGTTTTTCTAGGCAGATTTGGCGTTCAGTAGTTTGCCATTGTTTTCTGAATGGTCAGCTCTCGGTACCATTGTTGAAACCAATGTAAGACAAACTATCCGCAGCTGGAATTGAACTCGGCACCCCAGCATTCGCTGTGTACAACCAGAAAAAAAGTTCTGCCGCCGACACTTATCAGCGTGGCCTATAATAATAATGACAGCTGATATAATACATCACTGCGACTCGTTTGATCCAATTTTTTTCAGGAGTGCGAAAAAAAACAACAACACTCTAGTGCTTATTAAGGATTTGCTGAAAGTTGGGCTGAAAAGCTGTAAACTACAACAGAACATGCCACTGTCAAAGGCAAATATGCTTGTCTGTTGACCTATTCAGCACAGGGACACATTTGTTTGGTTTAAATAACTGACCTTAGCACTAAGGTCGAGCCAGCCCAAAATGGATAACTGGAAATGTCCTAGAAAGTAAAGGTGGCTTGCATGACGATGACATCGCTCATCAAGCGCTGATTGCGTCTATACAAATCTTGCGTGGCATAACCCGATGCATCACTTTTCACATGATAATGACAAATGATAGAATTATACAGGAAACAAGGAAGTTAAATGAAGGGGCAAATTGGAACAATGTATACACACAAAGAAAAATCAGACGTGTCAGCCCGAGCCAACAAGCGACAACAAAAGCAACAGTGGGCAGACCCCACACATGAATGACTATAATGTGCCGTGGATTAATTTCTTAATGACCGCAGTGGCCACTGCTATCATCACTTTGTAGACACATTATTATGAAGTCACAGATACTTTGGGCATCTCCCAGCCCATGCTGGCAATAGTCGACCGCAGCATGTCCAGAGAAACAGCAGGTAAATATGAGCCTTTTCTTTTCCTCTTCCACCACTGTCCACTTCTGGCCTCTTCAGAACCAATCTGAGTGTACTTGTATTTGTAATGTTCAGCTCTGACATACCTGTTGGATGTAAGAGTAATGTATTGTTTTAGTTCTGATGTAAAAGTAAAGTAATATTTTAGATCTGATATAACTGTTAGATGTAAGAGTAATGTAGTATTATTTTAGTTCTGATATACCTGTTAGATGTAGAAGTAATGCATTATTTTAGTTCTGACATACCTGTTAGATGTAAGAGTAATGTATTATTTTAGTTCTGACATACCTGTTAGATGTAAGAGTAATATATTATTTTAGTTCTGATATACCTGTTAGATGTAAGAGTAATGTATTATTTTAGTTCTGATATACATGTCTGATGTAAGAGTAATGTATTATTTTAGTTCTGATATACCTGTCTGATGTAAGAGTAATGTATTATTTTAGTTCTGATATACCTGTTTGATGTAAGAGTAATGTATTATTTTAGTTCTGATATACCTGTTTGATGTAAGAGTAAAGTATTATTTTAGTTCTGATATACCTGTTGGATGTAGGAGTAATGTATTATTTTAGTTCTGATAGACCTGTTAGATGTAGGAGTAATGTATTATTTTAGTTCTGATAGACCTGTTAGATGTAGGAGTAATGTATTATTTTAGTTCTGATTGACCTGTTAGATGTATTAGTAATGCATTATTTTAGTTCTGATATACCTGTTAGATGTAGAAAATGTATTACTTCAGTTCTGATATACCTGTTAGATGTAAGAGCAATGTATTATTTTAGTTCTGATATAACTGTTTGATGTAAGAGCAATGTATAATTTTAGTTCTGATATACCTGTTAGATGTAGGAGTAATGTATTATTTTAGCTCTGATATAACTGTTAGATGTAAGAGTAATGTATTATTTTAATTCTGATTGACTTGTTAGATGTATTAGTAATGCATTATTTTAGTTCTGATATACCTGTTAGATGTAGAAAATGTATTACTTCAGTTCTGATATACCTGTTAGATGTAAGAGTAATGTATTATTTTAGTTCTGATATAACTGTTAGATGTAAGAGTAATGTATTATTTTAGTTCTGATATACATGTTAGATGTAGGAGTAATGTATTATTTTAGTTCTGATATAACTGTTAGATGTAAGAGTAATGTATTAATTTAGTTCTGATTTACCTGTTAGATGTTGGAGCAATGTATTATTTTAGTTCTGATATAACTGTTAGAAATAGGAGCAATGTATTATTTTAGTTCTGATATACCCGTTAGATGTAAGAGTAATGTATTATTTTAGTTCTGATATAACTGTTAGATGTAGAAGTAAAGTATTATTTTAGTTCTGATATAACTGTTAGATGTAGAAGTAATGTATTATTTTGGTTCTGATATATCTGTTAGATGTAAGAGTAATGTATTATTTTAGTTTTCATATATCTGTTAGATGTAAGAGTAATGTATTATTTTAGTTCTGATATACCTGTTAGATGTAGGAGTAATGTATTATTTTAGTTCTGATATAACTGTTAGATGTCGGAGTAATGTATTATTTTAGTTCTGATAAAACTGTTAGATGTAAGAGTAATGTATTATTTTAGTTCTGATATAACTGTTAGATGTAAGAGTAATGAATTATTTTTGTTCAGATGCAACAGTGTAGAAGAAGTGGATAGCTAAAAACAATTATTGGATGAATCATAACGTCTAATTCTCAATTGGTATAAGGTATTACTCCCTGTCGTAAGAGTCGACTAAATGGGGGGTAGGGGCTTCCTTTAAAGTCATAGTATATCATCTGTATCAGAGGCAAGGAGCAACCAGCTGCACACAAATAAGCCAGTAAAACTGATGTACATGTAAAACTCGGGCCGTGGCACAAAACCAAAGTCCAATTGGTTGAACAACCAGTACTCTCCGCCAGAGCTTACAGCCAGGGATCAACGAAGAAGAAGAGTTGCTTTTGCAAACAGTTCAAAGTGGACAACTGTATCATCAGATCCAAATTACAAAGACTCATATACTGTCTGTGTCACGCGGGAGTGCATGAAAGAGATTTGCTGGGTTACAAAAACGATAGCTACGGGACAAGGGAGACTTTTAGAAAAATGTATGAACAAATCATCATCATTATCATGTAGCAGGTTCTTTGCAGAAAGTCGCTCTCATCACAGTCTGCCTGAAAGAAACACAGTCTCTCGCCAGTTCTCCCGCCTCATGAACTTTCACACTCAAGGAGTCACTTATATCCTGTGCCTATCGTTGTGTCGGTCGGCCCCCTGTCCCTCCTTCCTGGTACCATGCCTTCTGCTATAATTTTTTCCAATCCGTTGTGGCGCTTGATATGACCAAAATATTTCAGCTTTCGAGAAAGGATGCTGTTTATTAGCCAATCTTCCTTGATGTTCAGATCTTTTAAGATGTCAATATTTCTCACTTTTCTCTTTGTGATCTGCCTGGCCTGGGGGCCTCACCATCAGATCTTTGAGTTTCATTTTTGGCTTCCATGATGTATGAACAAATACTGACAGAATATACAACAATATGTAAATTCTTGAGACTCCAAAGGGGGAAAAAGGGGGTGGGGTGGGGGGTAGGAAAAATATAGACCCAGAGTCCCTGTCATTTAAGATGCCTCCCTCATCCATCACTTGACTCTGCGTCCTCATTTCTACAATATCACTGTCAGCTATTTCATCCAGTTCACTATTTGCCATCCATTTTGTGATTGCATCTGCACTGACATCGAAACCCACATGGGTTTCCACCCAGTGGCTTCAAAACTAACCTAACCTCTTAATATTGTTTAACTACTCTGCAAAGGCCATGGTAGTGTAACCCTGCTTTCACAAACATCTCTACTACTGTCTACAAGAAGATCCATGAAAACTAAAGATAATGTTATGTATCACACAGACATGAACTTTCCTACTTTGGCGGAGGTCTTCCATGAAATGGGTTGTGAGCTATCAGAGACTCGGTGTTTTCATCATTCACCAAAAATTTTGCAGCAAGATGAACCAACCATGGATTGTGTTGGTAGTTCTGAAGCAAACAATTATTATAATAATTAAAGTAGCACTGCTGCTGTTTCACGTCATAAGTACATTTGGCACATGGTGCTGGACCAATGTTTTTATAGAAAAATTAGCATTCAATCAGTAAATCTTCTTCTTCTTCGTGTTCACCAGCTGTAAACTTTGGCGGAAAGTTCTGGTTGTTCATCCACTTTTGGACTGCAGTCCTGTTCCAGAACCTGAGTGTTGCGTCCTTGCTTGCTGCTATCTGCTGACATCCGCGTTATATAGCCAAACTCATTTCACCTGTTGTCTTCTAATGAATACCAGAACTGCTGCTACTCCCTTTTTCTTCAGATTTCATCGTTTCTGATCTTATCTCTTCTTGTTATATTAAGACCATTATACAGTGAATATAAAATCAAATCTCAGTGAATATAAAATAAAATCAGTTATGTATATACCAGGAATTATGACCCTTGTTATGCTGATGATCGTGACAGGCAAATTGATACAATGGGCCACAGTTTGAATATTTTAATGGGAAGACAGAAGTAATAGTCATATCCAAGAAAAGAATGGTTCCTAAATGTTTAGTAAAAGTCAAAGGCGTTATTTTAGTATAAGTACAGACATTTAAGTTTCTAGTCACATTCTGACAGAAGATGTATCATAGCAATAAAGACGGGACAGACCAAAACCATATTTTGTAAAATGAAAAACATATGCAATAAATCCATGTTGCTAGAGGTTAGAAAAAAAAATACTTGCGCAATGCTCGGAATCCTGGACCTCGAAAATGTAGTTTTACATAAGATTTCTTAGAATTCCTTGGAAAAGAAGCAACCTAGATTAAGAAACAGATATCTCAAAGAAAAAAGTCATCATATTTTGGCATACTGTGAGAAGAACGAAACTAGAACATGATGTGACCACCAGAAAAATCTGTGGCAAAAAAAAAGAAAAGAAACAGGGGAAGACTAGGAGAAGATTCTTGACAGTATGGGATATCAGAACACAAAAATGCTGTTGAGAAGATCACAGATTGAGGGGTTGAGAAGATCACAGATTGAGGGGTTGAGAAGATCACAGATTGAGGGGAGGCATGATTGCCAGCAGCACTCGGCAATGTTGATAAAATAGACAACTCTGGAAACAAAGCATTTAGGAGTATCAATGGTAAACTTACAACATTTATGGAAAGTGTAAAACTGCGAAATATACATTTTAATGCTTATTAATGTGAATAAAGTCAGTGAATGTTAAAAAAACACCTTAAAATGTAAATATAATCTCACCCCACACTACTTGAAACAGGAAATCTTGTCAATTAAAATGAACATTGTGCCTTGTCGATTGGCACGGTGTTCCTCCCTCATCTTGTGATCTCCAAAGGATTACATTCATAAGGATAAACTTCACAGCACTGGTCTCAGTCTCTTCCCACAGAACGGCCACATATCACTCTCCATAATCTTTCTTGTTATATGTTCCCAAAATTAGCTACTACTCCCTTTTATTTATTTTGGCCATCAAGGTTGTCAGAATTCTTCTATGAAGCCATATTACTGTGGCTCCAAGGGATTTTGTCTGCCTGCTTATTCAAGTGTCCATGTTAATAAGGGATTTAAAAAAAAAAAGTGTGTGTGCATGCGTGCGTGTAAAACATGCACAATTTGTTTAGATACTTTCAATGTTAAAAAAAAACAAGTAAAGGCCCCTTTTCCACGCCCCTAGATGTATAGGGCATATAGGGCTAGACCTACATTTTTATAGACCACAAGATGGGTGATGTGGTCAACATCACGCCGGCCGCGTTTACTTCTTGGGACTGCACCCGGTACCCACTCAAGGCTGGGTCGACCTGAGAGCCAAGGTCATTTCTGACAAAAGTCCAGCTCCTTCAAGGAGCGAACCAACGACCTTCCGATCCGCGGTGAGCATCTAGTGGCTCTGCCATGGGGGACTCCTTACTTGCAATGTAATTAATGATATTTAGACAAAGACTTCATTGTATACATGCGCAGTTTGTCTTGTTCTGCATCTCTGTGATCTTGCATTGTGCCAAATTTAACCCTAGCCAGCCACACTGAACAATTCTTCTTCTTCATTTTCACCATCTGTAAACTCTGATGGAAACTTCTGGATGTTCTTCCACTTCCTGACAATTTTGTTTCAGAACCGAGTTTTGTGTGCACATCTGTTTCACAGATCTGGCTTTGTATGTTTGCAGACTGTTAGTTCCTTTCAGGCAGATACACAATGACTTAAAAGGAAATGCCCCAAATAGACTTTTACGATTTGCTTATTTGGGGGGGGGGGGGGGGGGGGCGCAGAGGCCTATTCTTTTACTACCCACAATAGGGCCCCAGATGGGAACATAGATTCAATTAGAAAAACTGATTAAATTTAATGTTTGTCCAAAATTTAGAAATCTAAAAGAAGCTTGGCACTAATTTGTAGGTGCACTAAAGCCTTGAAATAAAAACAAAAGCATTGAAATAAAAACAATCTGGTGCCGCAAACAGCAGTCAGATTAACTAGGTTACAATTATTTTGTGTTTTAGTTTAGCATCTTGCTTCAGTACCAACCTGGAAAGCTGCAAACCACATAAGCCAATCTAGACGGTAGTGGTAGGGAGAGATGAGGCACGGGGTGCGATCTATGGCTCCTGGTTTACATTTGAACTCGTATTCCTCCCAGACAGCCTGAGGTGAGCTGGGATCTGAACTGTTGGTTCCTTGGAAAATCACTTCCGTTCTTTTCTTGGTTACACTGAAAATGTATATGAGTGTGTACAGTTGTTATACTGGTCGACAGGAGCATGACTGCACATGATTCAATTGGCGATATCTAACCATTCTTCAAGTGGCTCCAGAGAACAGGAAACATTGCTAATGCACACAATCTAACCCTAACCTAAAGGTGGTAGGGTCGCCGGACAGCAGTAAGTTATGAAACTTTGTTATGGATTAAAAAAAAATATATATATTTTAATTGTATTGGTTCTTCCCCTCTCTGGCAGATGCACTCTGACTTCAAAGTAAACACTCCTAATTAGTCGACTTTTACAAAGCAGTTAAAAAAACAACAACCCACTGCAGGCCACTTGAATCCACACAGGGCGGCTGGATGTGACTATACATATTTTGCTTATGTTGGAAATTTCACAGCAATTGGATTTCACAGAGTTATCTGGCAGTAACCTCTGGCAGATAGGGCAAACTACCTAACTACATGAAAAACTTTAAATAAATGCATGCCACATGCAGAAGTTGTGAGCTAGAGTGCTGTATTTCCTGCAAATAATACCCAACCCCAGAAAAGCCCTTGCATGATTTTTAGGATGCTTTTATTATTGAATGAGAGACTTGTTACTGTTATTGAGTGGCAAATTGGTGTAAAGACACAATTGGTGTGCACTTGCTAATCAAAGGATGTGACAGTTATGACAGTATTCCAGAAGAAGATGATATGACTGTCTCTGAATAAATGCAGAATTTTGTATATGAAATGTAGATTGTTGTACTGGGGGGGGGGGGGGGGGGGGGGGGTGGGGGGGGGGGGGGGGGGGGGGGGGGGGGGGGGGGGGGGGGGGGGGGGGGGGCCACAGGAAAATAAAAAAAAAATTCTTTATAAACTAAAGGGTAACAGTTCTCTGCTGTTTGACTTTGAGTTGTAACATGAAACTACAATTACAGTAAAACCTTAAATTAACTCGTCCTCAGTGATTATAACTCATCATCAAGTGCCTTGACAGCTGTTGTAGGCGTTCATGCGTCTCCACAGATCTCAGTCTTTGGTATTCTGAATCAATTCCACTGATGATATTCCTCCATGCCACTGTCTTAAGTCATCCACAATCATTTCTCTTGGTCTGCCTCTTCTACCAGTGATCTTTCCAGTTATCACGATATTTTCCAGTGCTCCTTTTCACATCACGTGGCCACAGAACTTTGTTTTGTCTCTGTTTCATTGCTGTATATAATGTTCTAGTTTCATTAGCCATTTCCAGGCAATCATTTTTATTTATTCTGGCAGTTTAAAGTATTAGCAACATTCTTCTCAAGAACCACATCTCAGTGACTCGTCTTAATTTGTTTGCTCACCGTACAACAGAAACAGGCTCGAAGTAACATTTCAGTACTTGTTTTCTGATGTTTAATAAGATAAGATCCTTTTCATCTTTTGAAATGCTGCTTGCCTGGCCAATTCTGCTCTTAATTTCTGTCACAACGTCCATCTGATGTTATGATTGTCCCCAAATACTTGAATTTATTGACTTGGTTAAGCACTTTCCCTTCTATTTCTATGTCATATTTTGGAGTTATCTTCTTTGATATAACAATTGCTTCTGTTTTTTTGACATTCAAGGAAATTCTCTTCTTTGCACTCTCTAGTACCCCAATGTCTAATAGTTGTTGTAGGTCTTCTGTAAGCTGTATCATCTGCATAACAAAGATTGTTTATATTTTAACCTCCAACTAGTATTCCTGGTCTATCCTTGACCTCCCTCATTATTATTTCACTATAGAGAGAGAAGAGATCCAGTGATAAAACACATCCTTGTCTCACTCCTTGCTTTATCTATTCATAATTGCCTACTTTATTTCCCAATTTAATTGCTTCTTTTTGCTTCCATTAAATATTTGTTATTATTCTGAGATTTTTCCATCAATGTTAATATCCTCCAACAATTTTATCATGTCATGTTTCACTGTATCAAAAGCTTTATTTAGTATAATCTATGAAGTACAAATATATGTCCTGTTCCTCTGGTGATCTCTCTATTAATGTTCGCAATGTACATCTTGCATTTTTTGTACCTTTCCCTTCTACAAAACCATACTGCTCTTCATTAATTTCCATTTTTGTGTGTGCTTTCTTGTTCTTCTCCTAATTCTGAGTAATGGTTTGGTGACAGGGTTTATAAGGTAGATTGTATGAAATTCATCACATAGCAATTGCCCCAGGTCTTTTAGGTTGTTCTATATATAAATACAGACTACAACATATCATTAGGTATGTCTCCACTTCTGTAAATATCATTCAACATTTTAGTTAATATGTCAACTCCAAATTCACAGAGTACTTCTATTTCCTCTATTGTAATTCTATCTGGTCTGGCTGTTTTTCCTTTCTTCAGATGTTTGATAGCATCAGAGACTTCTTCTTTTAGTATAGGTGACCCTTCTAGGTTATTTTCTAATGTTAAATCTGTTCTTTCTTCATTATATAATTCTCATATGTATTCTTTTCATCTCTTTATTGCAGAATCTTCGTCCATTAATACCTTTCCTGTTTTTGATTTTAAACATCCTGTATTTACTCTTATTTTTCTTTCTGTCAAATCGCTAATTTGCCTGTCCATTCTTTTTGTATTTTTATTGGAATTTACCTCAACACATTTAGCTCTGATTTCTTTGTGTATCTTGTCATATTCTTCTTTGTTATTTGTTATTTATTTTTTTTTGCTTTTCCATCAACTTCAAGATTTCTCCAGTCATCCATTTCCTCTTAGCTTTTTTTGTTTAATTTCCGGTGATAGCTCTTTGCATGTGTGCCGAATTTTAGCATTTTTCCCATTGCTAGTTTATACTTTGCATTTTAGTTATTGCATTGTATCTGTTTTTCACAATAACTCTGTATTGTTTTTGAATTTCTTTATCCGCTTGTAGGATATCTTTATTAAGTTTCATATTTTTAAATCTCTCTTTCCTCTCTTCAGTCTGACTTTTACTTGTGATCACTATATTACAGTCAGCACCAGGATCTGTCCTCACATTTTTTTAAATGAAGGGCTGGAGATTATAATTAAAATATTTTATAGTAAAAAGATTATCCCATAACGTGCATTTCTTACGATAATAGTTCTTGTTTTTATTATAACTTTTCAATATATACATATGTATATTTCTATATTTCACAACCCACAACTATGAGATGCCCGTGGCGAAGTGCTGTTTGCCTCGCGCTCTGAAAGTTGTGGGTTTTTGTGGTTCACAAATGCTATTTTTATGGAGACCATAACCATCACTGGAGCTGCCATGTTCGTGCTTTATTCAACATGCTCAGGAGGTGGCTAGTTGTTCTGCGGAGAGATATCTTCTTGATACCTTCCCATTCGTATCAGGGTTGTTGTCTATTTCTGCCTTCAGATTTTCTCTCTAGTATGGTTTTTTTCCGGAGCAGAATATGTACATTTTTTTGTTTCGTGTTTTTTTTTACTATACTTTTTGTTTTGTTTTAAATAATTTTATTTATTTTTATTTCACTAAGCCTTTTTTCATTCACAGCTTCTCTTCTGTTCCCCATGTGGGTTCTGGTGCCCTAATGTTTAGGGTAAACAGAATAGACCCACTGCCACTTTGTAAAAGTTGACTAATTAGGGAGCTTCTTTCAAAGTCGGAGTCATTCTGCTGGAGGCAAGGAACCAGCAGTCTGCATACAAATAAGCCACATCTGTGGACTCAAGTTCTGGAAACAAGACAAGTCCTCAAGTGGATAAACAACCAGAACTTTATACTGGATGCTAAGATCTTATCCAAGAAGGTTAAAAATATGTCACCACCATTGGAGGAATGAGGGAAATATTTTGATGTCATTAGAAATCGATAGTTAACAACAATGGTTCTTGTAAATATTGTGCAGCCCTATTCAATTTAAGCTCACTTCTAAGGCAATGCATACCTTCCAAAAGCCCCATAAGTATTCACCAGTCTCAGAGGGTCAAATGAGGTATTCATGGCTTGTCGAGGAGATAAAAGATTAAGTACAACTGGTATGCTGAGATATGCAACCAGCAGGCCAAAACCAATGTTGAAGATTCTCCTAATCATCTTACCTGTTTTTGAAAATAATTAATTAAATAGTTAAGTTTGTAACAATTTTTCACCTAGTACAATTTGTACTTCATATTTTAACAGAATAATTGTGCATAAAATAAATAAAATGAGATGTCGAAGAAAAGCGAACACAGAATCACCAATCAGACTTAAATGAGAAACAAATTAAATAAGCAGGCGAGACCTTCCCACCTCCGTTGATGAGAGAGGCGAAGGTGCTGGAAACAACTAAGACAATTACTAATAAATTACAGACATTAATTAACTGGTGCCTGCGCAGAATAGAGGGAATTAAATGGTATGATAGTATAACTAATTTAGAGCTTAGGGAGAGAATCAAACAGGCTCCAGTGGACCAAGAGGTGAGGAAAAGATGCTGGCATTGGAAAGGACACACACTGAGAGAACAGCATAACTAGAATGTCTTTGCATTGGAACCCGCAGGGGCACTGGAATAAAGGAAGGCTAAAAAACACATGGAGAAAAGAGCTGGAGAATAAAGTTAGAAAGATGGGGAGGACATGGGGAGAGCTCCATGTAATGGCGAAGGATAGAACGACTTGGCGTGAGTTGGTTGAGGGCCTATGCTCCATTGGGGGGATAGAAAGGCAGAAGAAGAAGAAAGGTGCTGGAAGACCATGAACAGACTGCAAGGTCGTGTGGTGTGTAGTGGCACACAATTATGATAGTAAAGAAGACTTCCATAAAAAGTATCACTGTGAACTTCATCTACAGGTTAAAATTAAGTTCATTTGTAAAAATATTTTCTACTTTACTATCAGGTGCCTGGTCTGGAGCAGGCATTGGTCATTTCATTGTTCTGTGTCTTACAGTTTAGCTTTGTTTTCTTTCATAACATTTTCCACACCCACATAAAAGTCACATTTTCACTGCTACCAATTTCTTCACCCTTTTACTTCTCTTTGCTCAGCACTGGCACCCATACCGGAAGAGCAGTTGCGCACAACATTTCAGTAAGAACCTTTCTTTTCATATATCATTTTGTTTCCTATTACATTCCAGTAAAACCAGCTTGCTAATTATTATTATTATATATTTTTTTTACAGACAACACTTCCTGGCAATCAATTCTCTATAGGTAGCAGCACTGAAAGGACCTTATCTGATAATTTCACTTACACTGAATGTCATATGTTATGTTCAACCTGCAGATCCTGGTGGACAAATCTGATGGCGGATGTGGTTGCAGAGGTCATAAGAGAATGCAATCAGACTGCATTGGAATTATAACTGTGCTAGCTGCTGCAGCCATGAAAACTGAGAACTTAATCTGAATGTCCTGAGTGCTGTGATGTCAGTTCTTAATTGAATTCTTCTTCTTTGTTCATCCGAAGATGTAATTGCGTTGTGTTCATTTACAGCATGGCTGCGATATTTGCACCTTTCGGCCAGCACATCCGATTTCTGCAGGCATTTGTTGACCGGGTTAGCTTTTCCGGTTCTTAATTGATTTGAACTCTGGTGGATATTCCAAAAACTTTTCAGAGGAACAGGTGGTTACAGGCAGTTTAAACCCCCCCCCCCTCCCCCACCCCGCCCCCAAAAAGAAGTGAAGATGACGTGTTTCACTTAAGTAGCATAACAAGAAACAATTTCAGTCAGACAGCTTACACAAATTGTTTATTTTAGATGTTAAAAAGATGTTGAGGCATAAAAAAAACATTGATTAGTTATAATTAAGTGGCAGTAAAATGTCTGATTTATTCTGATTAGGCGCAAAACAAATTGAACAATTTCAGAACCGATATGTTCTGATTAAAGTATCATTCACATACTAGGCACAGAACTAAATTTAAAAACAAAAACAAAAAAAACCTACTGATCTTTAAATGATATGAAAAAGAAGCTCAAACAACCTAAAGTGTGTGGACTTACTCAAACTTGGTTTTTCTTGTCTACTTTTCTGTTCAGTTACAATTTTTATAACTTTACTCCTCACACTGCTTGAAAATAACCAGGCCAGACTTGCATCATCAAAACAAGCCAAACTAGGCAGAATGGTTAGCCAGTTGAGAAAACTCAGGTTTCCACTAATAATGAGAGCCACCTGCACAACATAACAACATAAAAATACATACAACAAGAACAAAGAAATCATCAAATAACATTTTCATATGTAACAATAATGAATTATGATTCTTCACCTTATAAAGGATATATAATGAGAAGAAATAAGTACTGGCTTTGAATTGAAGCCCCACCCTGGCTGCTGCCAGGGGCCCTAATATAACCTAATGGTTGAACAGGGTTTCCGGGACCTCTCCATGGGTTATCCGCATATTGGCACTTTGTATCACCAGGTGTTTTATCGCTCTGTGTGATGTCCTGTTGGGGTAAACCTTACTTACTTATTGGCCTTGAAAGTATCCTCAATAATAAATTAAACAATGAGTTACCAAACAACCTTTCAAGGTAATTTTGAGGAAGATTGAGTACCTCTAGGTTTGCCCAAAGTGCCTTGAAGCTGCTTCTCAGAACAGTTGATTTTCTCAATGCTGCTTGGGTTTCAGAAGACAAACAAAGCGTCAAAAGAGCTTGACTGCTGTCTTCCGTAATCAATAATTACTGATCACTTCTCAAAATGCCTTTACAATGTGTTTTCAGTAAAAATGCTATTCACATATTCTAAACTAGCTGTGTTTCATTTTTGAAGAAGTTTTACCTGAAATATAATCTGGATGGCCCCTCCCACCATGCACCATTTCCGAGTTAGCAGCATAAAAAATGGAGCAATTAACTCCACAAAATGGTTGCTCAAAACTTCAAACTTGTGAACAAATTCAGGGGACTGATGTAGGAAGTAACTCAAAGGATTGGGCACTGGCTGGGTCTGAAACAGAAACAGTTGAATTTTAACTCTTTTGGTATAAATGTATATGTATAAATGTAATAAAGGTATAAATGATCGCATGATGCATTCCTTGTTACTGAAAGAGTCAAGTGTTGTTTGCCCATTACAAGTTACGCAGACCACTTAGCATTCAAAGGTTATTGGTAAAATATTGTGAGTCCATAAGTCCAATTTGAGTCTGGAAAGTTATTAGTTCAGCTTGGCAACCCACAGCTGAGGGGCATTTGCCAGAGTTCTTTCTAGTCGGCCTCAGCTTCTCTGCAAGTGCAGCCTCCACTGCTCAGCAGACTGAGGCAACATCCTGATGATCATTTAGACTGGTCCTGTGCAATGTTTCTGTCATAATGCTGTAAGATGTTAGAGCAGTTCTGAAAGAATGAATGGAGAATTGACATCACTGCACACAAGAGCCCCTTCTTCTTGCCAACAAAGAGTCAACATGCTAACAGTACCAGTTGCAACCTGATTAAAGTCCACCAGTGTTTCCCCCTCAGTTTTTTTCCTTCTGTCCATCTGGAGTTCTCTCCTATGCTGGAGTTTGTTGTAAAATAATCTAGCATATGGGCTTGACCAGCCTTTTTGATCTAGCCTAGTAGATCTGATGTCTTGGCAGGTTTGCTTTACTGAGAATCAGAATGTCACTCTTTAAGGACCACACATTTCTTGATTACTCTGTACTTCTCTGAACTTCTGTTACATTAATGTGAGCTAACTTCTTTTTCTTCTTCTTCTTCACTGTAAACTCTGGCGGAAAGTTCTGGTTGTTCGTCCACTTTTGGACTACAGTCCTATTCCAGAACTCAAGTGCTGCATGTGCACCTGTTTCTTCTGACTAATTTGTATGCAGACTGTTGGTTTCTTGCCTCTCAGGTAGATGCACTCTGACTTTGAAGGAAGCTCCAAATCAATCGATTCTTATGACATGCTTTTGAGTAGGCAGTGGGTCTATTTTTGTTTTTCCCTATAACAGAGCCCCAGAACCCACATGGAGAAGCTAAGAACTGACACCCCAGCACATGGGACATTCCCACAAACACTCTAACCTCATCTTCGGCAAACAGTGAAGAGTTCCCATTCTGATGGCACCAATAGCAGTTTCATTGTGTGTCCATGTTGCCTTTCCTCTGAGTGTACAGTGTTGACCAGATCCCCTGTATCCTTCTCTCCAGACCATAATGATCTCTACATTGATCAACTGCTCCCAAAGGGCCTTGACTACATCTAGCTTGTCATTCACCACTCATTGGTGCAAAATCAGCTTAAAACTTATCCCCATCTCGGAGGTAATATCCAAAGAAAGCAGTGCTAACTACCCATGACCTCTGAAGCGATACTAGCATTTACTTCAGTTATGCTTGGTATGTCAAGCCTGTCCTTGCTTAATCTGAGAGGCTGAAGCAAGTGTCCAGACCATTCTAGTGTTTCCCTTTGGAAAACTATCTTTACTGCCTGTCTTTACATTTGGGGCAATAAAGGATGGAAAGGGGGGGGGGAAATCAAGCCCCCACACTCCAACCACTCAGCTAATACAGTCGAGTCTGGATAAATAGAAGTCGCAGGGACCTAAGAAAATGCTTCCACTTATCAGGACTTCTACTTATCCAGACAGCACACACAATAGAGAACATTGCCGGGATTTAGCTGGTCATGTCGACTTAACCAAAATTTTTACTTATCCAAGTTTGACTTAAGTGGACTCGACTGTAAATAAGATAAAATACTCTCTGGCTCTGGGTAGCAGCAGACAAGTTTTTTTTTTCTGGAAAAGTAGGAGGAAAGAAACTGCTGTCTTTGCTGTGTGATCAGCCGTCAAATGTCTTTTCGTAGAGAAGTCAGTATGTCAACCACTGCTTGCCTGCTCTGTAAGCCGATCAGCTTGCACATTTCCTGCTGCATATACTGGAACACAGACAAAATAAAAGCTGATCTTGGTCAGCTATGACAGCCTTAGACAAACCAAATGACTGAGTTTACTTACTTCATAATGATAGTTCATACAAGTCAAATCATGCCAGCACTTGTCTCCTCTTATTTTTATGAGCCCCTGGAAGCCAAACAATGTCTTATTATTAGGAGATAATGTCTTAAAATATTCACGAGACAATCTGCCCTAGAGTTGTGTTAAGTCACAGCACTCGGGACATTCTCATACATACTCCTTCCTCACCCTCAGCAGCCATGGAAGAGTTCCTATCCCAAGAATACCATTCAGTCATTGCCACAAGGTAATTTAACCCTTTTGCCCTGTAAGAATCTTAAAGAACAATAACCTTTTTTCAAAAGTTAACTGAAAAGAAATACTTTATTAGAATTCTCTAAAATTCTACTAGAGGAAGAAGAAGAAGAAGAAGAAATTTAGAGTACTGGTCAGTTTTTAGAAAAATCTTTTTTCATGATATAATCCTTTCTGATTCTGTCTCTTTAGGATTCGTCATACAAATTTCATTTCTGTTGTTTAGAAATTTTTATTGCGTTTGTTGTAGGCAGTGTTAAAATGTTGGTTACAAATCTGTACTGAACAGTGCTCTTTTGGTTTTGGTTTCAAGAGCGTGTATATGTTTGAACGTGTATGATTGTGAATATATAAGAATGTGTGGGTATGCTTGCAAGTATATAGGTATGTATAAGGGTGCGTGGTTATATGCGTGCATTTCCATCCATTCCTTTGTGTTTTTATTTTTAGTTGATATTCATTCGTGTAAGATGCTTTATTGATAAAACACAATAAAAAAAACACAGGTCTGAAAGATGAATGTTTGGAAAGGCCAAATGTAAGACAGGCCTGCGTGCCTAATTTGTGACCCTTTGAAAATAAAGTTTGTTCATTCTATTGTTCCAGCGCAGTAAGATACCTAATGCTTTCGAAGTTTTAAACGCTGATAAGCTTGGGATTTTTAACAGTACTAAGGAATTTGTGGACGAAGCTGAGTCATCTGAGGGTAAACTAAACACAAAGGACCCTTTTCTCACCAGTGGCACATCAGGCATAACATGCTAGACTTATATTCTTGTAGACCAATCAGCTCTCAATGGGTGATGTGGTCAACATTATGCCAGCCGACTTTACTTCCCAGGACCTGGTACACATTTTTGGCTGAGTCAACTTGGAAGACAAGGTCATTTTATAAAAATGTAAAAAAATTGACTCGATGCAGATTTTAACAGACCAGTCGTTATAAATGTATGGTGAGCTGCTTAGTAACAAAAGAGTATTTAGTCAGTTTAAAAAAAAATAACACCACTATTTTCATATTTCTAATGACTTAAAAATATAATCTATGGAATTATCTTTTTCAGTCCCAAACGTGTGGGAATTTACTCATGTGCACCAATCAAAATAATATGCTTGTATATTTTATGTTTACTAATACATCCAACAACAACACAAGACAAAGTGTTGCATATTTAGCTCTTAAGGATGCAGTATACCCATGATTTTGTTGCTGTCATTACTGCCTCATTTAGGCATCAGCTATGACCTTCCGGAATTGAAACAGTTAAAGATAAAAGAATCTAAAACGTTTGTTTAAGAAAACAAAAATTAGACAATATAAATAAACAGTACGAGCCTCCAAAAGAAACAGACATACTTACAGCTCCCAGCATGATTCTGAAGATGAGCCAGCGGTAAGCAAAGATAACAATTTTAGTTGGTGGAGTTGCTTTGGGTAGAGGAGATAATGACAGCATTGGACACAGGAAGACGGTCAAAAAACCAGTCTCCAGGGTTTGGCTCTCCCAGCCTAAAAAGAAGAGAAAAGAAATACAATCTGAATGTTAAAACACACCATATTTAGCTGCGAGACAGGGGCAGAACATGAAGTGTGTGAGAAGGCTTGTAACTGCATAAGTTTTGGTTGAGTACTTGACACAGTAAGAAGACATTTTATAGCAGTGACACATAACAAAACTGTAACACAGATTATATGCTACACCAGAAAAAAAAAATAATACTATTATATGCAAGATTTTATGTGTGCTCAACTCTTTCAGCCACATATATATGACCAGATTTACTCTATGCAGCAGTTAACATATTATGCTTAAACATTTTATGTTCAGCTGGGGCTTGCTAAAACACTCAACCACACATGTATCTTCCCACAAGGGATGTGTATTTGGGCCCGGTGGATACACCGATAATTTTTTTTAATTCCACAATTATTTCACCGCTATGATCTCTGGGATTGAAAGTGTTAATGATACACATAGTATTCCATTCAAGTAGATTGTTACGTTATTCAGGAAATGCTGAAGAATAGTAACACCCTACCTTGCCAGGCAGTTTGTGAATAAAGGTAGGCTCAAAATGGACTACAGGTTACTTTGTAACCGTTTTGTGGTGCCCCAGTATAACTCTAGGCCCGCCTGTGGATCGGAAAGTAGTGGGTTCGGCTCCAGATGGAATCAGGCATTCTTCAGAAATGACCTTGGCTCCCAGGTCGATCCAGCCTTGAGTGGGTACCAGGAGCAGTCCTGGGATGTAAAGGCACCCGGCATGATGTTGTCCACGTGGAAAAGGTTTCTTTACTTTTTTCTGTCAACTTGGTAATGTAACTGTCTGTCTGTAGGATTGAACAGGGTTTTCAGGATTGTAGCCTGTCTGGTGCTAATCCTTGAGATAATAATCCTACAGACTGCAGTTCTGGAGGGAATTTTTAAAAAAATTTTTAAATTTCAAAACTTGAGATTGGCTACCTTAACCCATAAAATGCAGCCTTCAGGAAAAAAGAAATATCAGTTATTAAAAAGCCAAATAAAAGAACAAGGTAATAGCGATACACATGAAGTTGGAAAGGCAGCTGAAGTGGTAAAAGAAATGAAACACTATAGAATTATTTTTTTTTTCTGGATTGTGTGAAATAACTAGAATGCCCTTGCACTGGAACCCACAGGAGGGGGAGCTGCACCCGATAGAAAAAGAAAGGACAAGTTGGTTGAGGGCAGGTAAAGAAAGAAGACAAAGAATTATTTCAGGAAAAGAGCAATGTTGTGAATAATATTTAAGGAAAAGTATGATCATAAATATTTCAGAAAAAGTGCAGGGTAATATTCCAGAAACATTGATAACATAATGTGTAGCACTGTGTTAAATTAAATGAATATTTTAGGTTATATTATTAATAAAAGTATTATGTGTTAAGTTAAAGGTGATTTCTGGATGTAGCAAACCACAGCAAAGTCAAGGACCCTTTTCTCAATAAAACAAGAACGGAAACAAAAACATTAAATAATAACAGAAAAGGAAAACATAAAGTTACCTGAACATAAATAAACTGTTTTCCAAAAATTTGCAGCAAGCATCATATACCAAACAACCCAACGGTATGAAAAGGGGTCTTTAATTTTTCAAACTGTATCCCACTCACATCCCCTGGTACTTACCAAAAGAAAACCTAGGAAAACAAAACAGAATACAATCAATCACATGATTTAAAAAAAAAAAAGGTATAAATGTTACATTAATAACCATTACTGTAATAATGTTTAGCTTAATTTGACCTAGGGTCTTTACCTAGAAAACAGGTGCCAGTGCTCAACAAAAGTGTCTAAACAAAGGTGCTGCTACCCACCACAAAGTTTAAAAAAAAAAAAAAACGTGCATGCACCACAACAAATGTGCTGGAAGAAAAATTACTAACAAAAATGTTAAAAAAAAAAAAAAAAAAAACTGTCTGGGTGGTGTACCACAAAAAAAAAACCCACCCAGCTTTGAATTATTACAATATTCTTACAGCTTTTAGTCCTACTAGGTCGGGACTGTATATCTTTCATTATTTAGTTCTACTAGTCGGCTCTGTGGCTAAGTTGATGCGAACGCTTTGCTTCGAAATGCCGGGATGCCGGGTTCGATCCCAGTTGCGGGCAATGCGCCTTGTGTTGGTTTTGACAGTGGTATCAAGAAAGCCGACCGTCCAGAAAGCAATGGCAAACTACTGGACGTAAATTTGAAAAGATAAACCACACAACAGCCAGGGGCTGTTAGGGTTGGTTCTGCAACGTTCTGTAAAGGATACGCAACTAACAATGCCGGGGTGCCGGGCCATGCACTATGGGTTGGTTTCAACAGCGGTATCAAAAAGCTGACCGCCCAGAAAGCAATGGCAAATGACTGGACGTAAATTTGCCTAGAGAAGCCACACAACAGCCAGGAGCTACTGTGGTTGGTTCTGCAACGTCCTGTAAGGGATACGCAACTAACCTTTTATGTTGGGACAATCTATCTTACAGCATTTATTCTACTATGTTGGGACAATTTATTTTTCAGCATTTAGTTCTATTTTGGGACAATTTATCTTACAGCATTTAGTTCTACTCTGTTGGGACAATTTATTTTACAGCATTTAGTTCTACTTTGTTAGGATTGTATAATTTGTATAATGGCATCATTTTTACTGTGCTGGGATTATCTATCCAGTATAATCTGGTTCTACTTGTTGCGAATATTTATCTTATAGCATTTAGTTCTAATATGTTGCAACTAACTTTATTATATCATTTCTTTCTACTATGTTGGTATAACTTTCCTATTTGGCTCTACTGAAATGAGATGTCTGAGAAGGGCTGTAGGAGTGACCATAAGAGATAAGATCAGGAATGAGATCATAAGAGAACAAGTCGGCACAGAACCAATTCTGGATTACATACAAAGAGATCAAGTGAAATGGTTTGCCCACTTAGAGAGAATACCATACAAAGCATACATGGAAAGAGAAGAAGGATGTAGAGCACGGGATAGACCAAGAACAAGATGGAAGGATAACATCAGAGAAACTCTACAACAGCACGATGTGCCTATGGTCGAGGCAGCCAGAAGAGCTAGAAACAGAACCTTATATCTCCCTCGACACCCACAGCAGTAAAAGAGGAAGTGAAGAAGAAGAAGAAGACATAGAGCTATCTTTGAATCTGCAGCTAAAGTTTTCTATGAAGTGAGGTAACTTCTCACATCAATGCTCCCAAGTCTTCTCTTATGACATGCATGGCCCCAGTGGTGTCTACAGAAGATTCTAAGTTATTCTCAGAATATATATTATATATTCTGTTATCACTTTCCTGAATTGCTTTAAATCTGGCAAGACTTTCATTATCACAGGTTAGGTTCTAATCACAACATAATGTATAGTCTCAAATTTCACAGACTAAGGTGAAGATAAGCACATACTAACCATCTCTGACCAACATTCACCAGGGAGTGATACAACATCCACTGAAACAGCAACAGTGGCCAGTTTCCGGATCCCGTTACTATCATGAAAGCTGCAATTGCCAGCCCTGTCTGGAAAATAAACAGGTTAAAATATTAAAAAATCAACCAACCAAATAGAATAGAACGTTTGTGTGTCTATACGGATGGGTCAGCACAAAACGCAAGCAGAAATGGAGGAGCAGGAGTGTATGCTGAGCATCGAAATAATACCAGATATACAGCTAAAATACCTACAGAAAGCACTGTCACAACTATATGAGGCAGAAGTTCAAACCGTCAAAATAACAGCGGAGAGACTGTTAAATATATGTCATATTTCACAACCCGTGGTATTCCTAACAGGTACAAGAGTGGTACATCAGGCACTCCAGTCTGGAAAATTACCTGGTATATGAATACTACTCTCCTAACTAGGCAACGGGTATAAGGTAAGTATGCAATAGATACCATCCGATTGTGGAGTTCCTGGAAATAAAATAGCTGAAAAACTAGCTAAGGAAGGTGACAATGAAGAACAACCTGATGTACCAGTCTCTTATCAACAGAAGAAGAGAATAATCAAATCAATCAGAAAGTCACCAAAACCAGCACAAGACGATTACACAATTGTCTCCACAGCCACTTGTACACAAAATTTAAAATTGGTGAACTAGCCATGTGCACACGTCAAATGGCACCAGAGAAAACAGATCACCTCCTCCAAGACTGTGCCAAATACAACATATCAAGGCAAAACTTTTGGCCAAGAGAAACACCAGTGCAAGACAAATTTTACAGATCATTGAGTGAATTACAAAAGACAATGAAGTATTTCAAGCGAACAAAAGAATAAGACGACGAAAAGAACAGTTTTTCCAAGTTTGAAGTGGTTACTATACCCCATATTTAGTAAACATAAAGTACCCTTTCCTTCAGGTGTACTGGGCATACAGGGCTAGACATATTTTACGGACCAGTCGGCCACCTTTACTTCCCATGACTTTACCTAGTACCCACTCAAGGCTGGGTAGACCTGGGAGCGAAGATCATTGAAATTTTTTTTTAAAGTCTATCTCTATCAGGACCTGAACTCATGACCTTCTGATCCGCAGGCAAGTGTCTAGCTGCTACACCATGGCAGCTCACACCGTATGGATTGGGGCTAAACTAGATGGTCAGGACTCACGAGCAGCAGCTACCGCATCTCCAGCAGCTTCCTTAATTTTATATGCTTGTGAGTCCTAGCCATCTAATTTAGCCCCAATCCACCCCGCATTGGAATTTGCATTATATGTGAACTAAAGAATTACATGGTTAATCTCATACTTCCGTGGTGAGATGTACAAGGTAATAAGAGACTATGCGATTCATGTATTTCAGTTCTTCTTCTTCTGTATTCGTCCTGAAAAGGGCTGGCTGGCATATGTGACATGGTTTTACAGCTAGACTGTTGTATCTACTCCTTTCAGCTCAATACACTGGATGTCAGCAACCCCTAATTAATCACCTTTTAAACATGCTTATTAGGGATGTAGTGGGTTTAATTTATTCTCTCCAGGACTCAGGCCCATGAACCTTCATGGAGAGTGTATTTCAGTAACAAGGATTCACTTTTGTGATTCACTGTGTGCTGATTCAAATTATATAATAATGAATAAATTAATGCAAGATCTGGTCTAATTTTTGAGGATCTACAGTAGTTATGTTGTGATACATCTCCCATCTGATGTCATCAATGTACTTATATATTTGAAATTGTTTACTTTCCTAAAAAAAATTCAAATGATTTTAATTAAATATTTAATCAGTATACACTCCTCTGGTCGGCTCTGGGGCTAAGTCGATGCGAACGCTTCGTAATGCCGGGTTCGATCACAGCTGCAAGCCATGCGCCTTGCTTTGGTTTCAACAGTGGTATCAAGAAAGCCAACTGTCCAGAAAGCAATGGCAAACTACTGGATGTAAATTCCCTAGAAAAACCACACAACAGCCAGGGGCTGTTGGGGTTGGTTCTGCAACGTCCTGTAAAGGATACACAACTAACCTATCACTCCTCTGATAGAAATTCACTCGACAGAATACAGTAAAATATGTCATGCAATAAACAGTATACTGTGTCCTCATTAATTCATTAGTGTATAAAAGAAAGACAAAACAACAGTTAAAAAAAAATACTAAAAAATAACATAACAATTACCCAAGCAATGACATCCAGCCAATAATCCAGGTCCTTGTTATAGTCCACTAGCCACAGCAGTGTCGGAGCATGAGACAGAAGTGACCACAAGCTGGAGGAGTGTGTGTGGCTTTTTATATGCGACAAATGAAGATTGGCTGGAAGTAAACCATTTCTGCCGACCAGCTGTTTGTTCTGGTGAAGACTGACAAGAAATGCCACAACTGGAAAGAAAGAAAAAAACATTACTGCTGAAATCAGTGTAGATATACTTCATTTACGACCCTGCTGACAATCAGTGGTGATATACCATGTTTCCCCAAGAATGAGACCAACCCTAAAGATAATCCCCAGGATGATTTTTCAAGAGGTGTTGATATATACCCTACCCCAAAATAAACTTTAGTTATGGATCGTGATCTACAATAAGAGAAAAGCTGCCAAATGGGCAATCAGAATGCATAAGCCACTAGTGCGCACTTGTTAATGAATGGATTCAGGCAAGAATTCGGGATTTGGAGAAGTATGATGTTCTAGAAGTGTGACGACACGACTGTAGTTAAATAAATGTTGAATTCTTCCTCCACCTTGTACCTCATCGAAGTGTCGGGGGAAGATGTAATGTTCGTTGATAAGCTCTGTCAAGAGCACTATTAAGACTGATGTTCATTTCTGTAAGGCTGTTCTTAATGCCATCACTCCACATTTTCCGAGGTCTTCCACTCGCTCTATACCTGTTGTAACGTTTTAATGTGGCTCGCTGTGGCAGATAGTACCAGGGCATTCTTGTTAGGTGTCCAAACCACATCATTTGTTGTTCTTTGATGACCTGTAAGACTGGCTTTATTCCTAGCATTCGTCTGATTTCATGATTTCGTATTCTGTCTTTCCTTGAAACTCCTGCAGCTCTTCTAAGGCATTTCATCTCTGTTGTCACAATTTTACGCTCATTGGAGGATGTAAGTGTCCACGTTTAGCATTGATAGCATAGTGTTGGCCAAAAAATAGTTCTGATAAGATTCACTTTAGTACTCCGAGGTATCTGCTTGTGTGTCAATAGGGGAGATAGTTGCCCCATTACTTGATTAGCTTTTGCACATCTGGAGCTAATTTCTCTGTCCAGTTTTCCGTCAGATGTAAAAATTGCTCCCAAATAATTAAATTCCTCTGTTTGTCTCAGGGTGTTGTTTTTTAATTGTATTTCTAAATTGTCTTTGTCTTCCTATCATCATTGTCTCTGTCTTCGTAGTGTTTATTTTCATATTATATTTCTTCCCTTTGTTACTAATTTGATTTAGGTGGTTCTGTAGGCATTCCGTATTTTCTGCTATGAGTACCTGGTCGTCGGCGAATAGTAATTCTGTAATATCTTCTTCATGATTAAAGTTAGTTTCGCTACATATGGTATCCATGTATGTTATAAAAAGAAGCGGCAATAGTACACAATGTTGAATTCTGCACAATAGTAAATCAAGATTTTTGTATCTAAAAAAAAAAAAAAAAAAAAAAACATACCATAAAAATAAGCCTTTGTGTATTTTCTAAAGCAAAAATTAATAAGACCCGGTCTTATTTTGGGAGGGAAGCAGTAGTTCCCAAGTTTTCTTTGAAATGACGTAATGAAAGGATCAAGAAGTGACATCACTGCACTCTGGTTATTCCTGCATGTGTTCCATCCCTTTCTTCAGAAACCAAAGAAATATTGACATGCTAATACAGTCGAGTCCACTTAAGTCAAACTCTGATAAGATGAATTTTGCTTAAGTCAACATGATCACCTTAGTCCCTGCCATTTCCTGTCTTTATGTCTGTTTAAAAGGTCCTGATAAGTCGAATTCTGTTAACTCAAATATTTGGATTAGTCAATTCTAAAAAATAAAAATTGACTATATAGCGTTGATGTTTAATTAAATCAAACTGTTCATTATCATGTGGGTATTATGGTTTGCATTAGAAGGGTGGATGAATAGCAATCTGTATAAGAAATGGAACTATTGCAGCCCATGGATACAGGATAACAGCTACAACTGGGGTGGGGGCGGGCACTTTGCATGCAGTAGTTTCTAGGTTCACATTGGGAGGATGTGGGGAATGGCAAATTGACGATTAGCGTTCTAACTTCCACCTCCCCTCATATCTTCCCTCCTCTCTGCTCTTTCTCCTTCCGTCTGTAATATGGGAATATAACATAACATAACCCTTGACCCATCAGTGGGGTCGTGGTGGTGTATTGATAGTAGCACTAGCATGTAAAACCCACCATCTTTCTCTGTCTTCTGCTTGATGAATAAGTGTATGATAACTTAGTCCTGTCCATTTCTTGATGTTGTCATTCCAGATCCTTCTTTGCTCTCCTCTTCGAATATTTGCTATCAGGAAATTGATCTAACAAATAAGTACATCATCATCATCCTGTGGTGCCAATTATTTGTTCATAGGGCTCACAGTCTATTCACTCATTCTGTTCTATGCTGTGAAATCTTTCCTATATCAAGGAGAGAATCCACACCAGTACACTTGGCCATTCTTATTTATGTTCATCTTAATGTAAGGCTTTGACATCCCTGTGTTTCCCCTTCCATTTGCTTCCCATTTAAGTGCCAGTTTGGTGATTTTCTGCCCACTTTTCCTCAATATGTGAATCTGCACAACTTCCGGTATCAGCTGCAGAGCCTCTCATTCTGGAGATGGATGATAAACTCACGGTCTCCCTATCAGGCAGGTCGTAAATGGCGACCAGTTTATAATTTTTTTCCTTTTAATTCAAAGCACATCTATCTGTGAGTCGAGTAAAACGGATGTGCACAAACAATTAAAATTGTGGAACAAGACTTAAATCAAAAGACAATCAACCAGAACTTTCTGTCGAAGTTAACAGCTGGTGAATGCTAAGAAGAACAAGAATATGCACAACAAGTAACATACAGTCAAAGAAACATAACGTATCTTACAATATATGAAACCCATATATCGGATAATCAGCATTCTTGTCAACCAGAAGGAGCCTTTCAAACAATCTGTATTTGCATCTTCTGCTTTCCCTTTATCACTGGCTGTCAAGCCTGTCTTATCAGATGAATTGCCTTCATCTGCTACAGGTTTCTAAAAAAAAATATGCTCTCGCATTAATAAAAAAAAAAAATAGAATTTTTGTTAGCGAAGAATTTATTTTTGGGGAAGGGGGGGGGGGGGGGGGGGGGGGGATAAGAACGAGAAGTACTTGGGCATAGCTCATTCTGGCTCAGTGTCGCAAGCATCGAAGCTCTTCAGTACAGTCTTCGTGCCAAGTACACCGTTGATCTGGGGAGTATGTAACTCTTCTGCCATCCCCCTGGCTCAAACCCTGAGACCAGACACGCATGGGGATTGTCACCTGATGTCCAATGTGCTATCAACTACGCTGGAGTGCCGGGCATTAGTAAAGAATATGAAGAGCAGTGGATGCTGAATGGTTAAGAATGCCCGAGTTCTCATGCAGGAAACCCAGATTCAAATCCTCATGAGACTGGCGATTTTTTTCTGTTGGGAAAAAAAAAAATCATAACCTGTAAAGTGCATGGCCCTAAATCTTCAGACTCAGACCCCCCCCCCCCCCCCCCCCCCCACGCAAAAGTGGCAAATACAGGCAGTAAAGGCAGCTATTTTAGTTAGCGAATGTGAAATAATCTGAATCAAACAGAAGCTCATTGGTGCTGCAGCATACTGCTGTTGTTGTTGTTGGCGTTAACCATGCTGTATAGAGCTATCCTTCTTGTGTTCACCCTTAAAAGGATGGTTAGTAGGTTCTGATGTGGTTTACAGCTAGGCTGTGATAACCGGAATACACACGGGGCACTGAGCTATTAAATATTTGCAAAATGAAGAATTAGGGGACATAAACACTAGTTAATGTTGTTAATAGTTGTTACTGAACTTTGTTGTAGGCGTCACTGACCATGTTGTACTGAGCTATTCAATCTTTACATCCTGAATACATACAAGTAATGTAAGAATGAATATTTTACTTGTTGTACTATTTAACTTCTATCCAAAGAAGTTGAAATTATTCCTAGATTCTACTCTTCTTATTTTTCTTCATCTTCTATGTTCACAGTAAAAGGGTGGTTGGGATGTTGTGTTGTGGTTTACAGGTAATTTGGGATATCTCTACACGTTTCAGCCCAACCATCAGAAGTCTTCCTTCAACAAGTGTTTTGAACCCTTTATCTTCCTAACAACCTGGTGCCATTAGAACCCAAACACAGATATCTTACTCATTATGGCTGCTGTGGTAGGTATTGGCTGGCATGCCTGCCAGCTGATCATACCCATGTCAGAAAATGTTCTGGGTACTTAACCCACCCACCCACACTGGAATACAGATTAATTTGTAATTATTTTGCAGCACCCCAATATAACTGTGCTATGTGACTTTACTTCTGAATAATAATACTTCTGAATACTGCTACATGATAGGGCAGACGTGGTTAGTGCCTTGTGGGAGAGCGTGTACAATGCGGAGGAGCAGATGGATCACCAGTTTGGTGAGATTGATGCCGTTGGGGGTGACGAGAGCTCAAGGCTCAGAGGAAAGGCAAGACGGACATTTAATCAGAAAGCTACTGGCACCATTAGTATCCGAACTCTGGCTGCTGAGGATGGAGACAGAGCGCTTATGGGAATGCCCCGGGTGCTGTGATGTCGGTTCTTGAATCAAATCAAATCACTTCTGAATAGGGTTCCCTGGGATTTTTACCTGTTTGATTCTCAACCTTGGGATGTTAACTCTTTTAGTCCCAAATAATGCATCATACGTTCATAGGTTCCTACACAGAAGCCTAGTGAACACAAAATGCGCTGATTATATGTTTCTCTAGAACAAGGCTTTTTAACTAAAGGTTCATGGGCTGAATCCGGCCTGCAGAGGCCTAGAAAGTATCTCTCAGATTATTGCCCTCTCACCCATAGTGATATAAATTTTTCATCATTTCGGCCCCTGAGTAAAGTTAAATAGCTCTGGTCTAGGAACAAATGGAACCAGCACCATATATCCAGTAAGCCTCCAGACATGGCAACAGGCCAATTAATTTAATTACCTATCCATTAGATTATTATTACATTAACTGATTTTATTCCAGACAGCTGTCATGTTAAACTTCAACAGCTTGAGAAAAAAAGAGTTAATCCATACGCAACAAAATAACTGAACAGAAAAGGCATAATTATACGACCTGTGATTCCTGATTGTCTACTATGTTGTGAGGACTGTCAGAATCAGTTTCTGTGTCTCTCTTCTGAGTTCTTGCTCTATTCCTCATGGTGTTTTCAGCACTCATGTCGCCAATATGGGATATTCTGGTATTCAAATAAATGAAAATGCACTGTGCCAACCTTCAAGTTCAGTGTAATTGCATGATTTCAGCTACCAAGTTACAGAAATATATATTTTACTTGAAGTTTAAAAAAAGCAGATAACAATATCAACATTAATGAAAACACATATGTGAACAAAAATATAAGTGATCATGTGTCCAAGGGTGCTCATATCAGGCACACAGCAGTCTATTTATAGTTATCTTTCTAGATGCACAGTTAACCCAGTATATGCTTTCATATTTAGGTGCCAAATTAGCCAAGCAGGTAATCCGTTGTTTTCTTTCTAAGTGCAAAGTTAGCCTAGTATCTGTTATCTTTTTTAAGTGCAAAGTTAGTCTAGTATCCACTTGCTGCTACCTTTCTAGGTGTAAAGTTAGTCTAGTATTTATTGTTATTTTCTATCTGTAAAGTTAGTCTAGTATTTGTTATCACTCTAGGTGTAAATTTAGCCTATCTTTCCTGGTGCTTAGTTAGTGAAATTAGTCTAGCATTGATGGACATGCTTCCTTTGCAGTTTAGCATTTTCGCAAGCCATTTATCTGGCTTGCTATGCACCTTATTATTTTTAGTAAGCCCATCAGTCCGTGCATACATTACATTTTTTAGCATGGTCCTTTATGCAACGAGAATGATCTATTATGAAATATTTATACTAGGGTTGCAGATCACTACAGACGCTACGCGTGCAGTACACTGCCATTTCTGTCATGCACACTTGATCTTACTGTCCATGAAAAATCTAAAAATCGACATCTGTTGTGTGTGTGTGTGTGTGCATGTGTGCGTGCGTACAAATAAAAGCAGAATACACAGTGGCTTTCGGCACGCCCAAATGGTTTGTAAGTCATAGGCTCCCTGGGAATCCTAGCTGGAGCTATGGAGGCTGTGCATTGTTCTTGACAGGTGGCTAGACAATGTGCAGAGAAAGATCAAGCCACATAGGGTTAAACCAAGTGCAATGAAGTGGATATTGTTTTTTAATTTTAAACCTGTTGTAATCCTTAATTCATTAACGCCTGCTTAAAACTAGTGAGCTGGCAGCCATTTTTTTATGTTTTATAATAATATCACTTAATATCAACATTTCAGTGTGATCTGTATGTCCACCTAATCACTCCGCACAATACAGTATACATCTTGCCAGACTCGCTGGCAAAAAACCATATATATATATATATATATATATATATATATATATATATATATATATATATATATATATATATATATATATATATATATATATATATATATATATATATATATATATGGTGTTTACTCAAAAACAGTGAGCCCTTGTTAATTAGGCCTATACTGCATGATACATATTTTAGAAATGCACATACTGTTAGGCCTCACTTCCCCGATTGCAAATTTGTCATTGGTGGTACTGGTATCTGCTACTGAAATGTTAATATCTCTGCTTGGAATTGACTTACAGGCTTTACTGACGTATCAATGGATTTGATATTTTGGCTATCTTCCTAATAACGGTCCCAAATTATCGAGGCCGAAAATATACCCTAACAGGGCCTCAGTCACATGTCAATTGCGTTCCTGCGCTTAAATTGTGCACTTCTGGCGATGCCGCCAACGGCAAGAGTATCTCCCACCCCTCTACGGGCGGCGTGGATTGGGGATAAACTAGATGGCAGGACTCCCAGCCATCTAGTTTAGCCCTAATTCATGCTGCGCGCAGCGGCGTGGGAAATACTATCGCGGTAGTCGCTGAAAGTGCTCAATTTAAGTCACCGGAAGTCTGCAATTGACACGTGACTGAGGCCCTGTTAGGGTATAATTTCAACTTCAATAATTTAGGACCGTAGACTGTCGCCTCTGTGGCTAAGTCGATGCGAATGCTTCGTAAGGCTATCTCCGAATAACGGGCACAAAAGATGGCGGCCGCAAAATATCCTGACAAGCCTCAGTCACGTGTCAATTGCGCACTTCCGGCAACTTAATTTGCGGTTTTCTGGTGACTAATACCAACCGCCGAAGGTAGGTCCCACGCCGCATGAGCGGTGTGGATTGGTGCTAAACTAGATTGCTAGGACTCACGAGCAAAGCTGTAGGAGATGCGGAAGCTGCTGCTCGTAAATGCCAGCCATCTAGTTTAGCCCCAATCCACCCCGCTAAGCGGCGTGGGGGACTCTTGGCTGTGGCGATAGTCGCCGGAAAAACGCAAATTAAGTCGCCGGAAGTGCGCAATGAACACGTGACTGAGTCTCGTCAGGGTATTTTGCAGCCGCCATCTTTTGTGCCCGTTATTTGGAGGATAGCCCTTCGTAATGTCGGGATGCCGGGTTCAAACCCAGCTGCGGGCCATGGGCCTTACGTCGGTTTCGACTGTGGTATCAAGAGAGCCGACAGTCCAGAGAGCAATGGCAAACTACAGGACATAAATCTGCCTAGACGGGGTTGGTTCTGCAACGTCATGTTGTAAAGGATATGCAACTAACTTATTTGGAAGATAGGCTCTCCTTTCAATACCGGACGCGGGCTGGCGGCTTAGTTCGGTTTAGTGGGAGTTCTCTCCCTTGGCCGCACTGCAGTGAGCGGAAAAGTCACGAAACAAATGACATACTTACCTATCATCATACGGTTGCGTGTAGGGTTGCGTATGCTTGCGTGTAGTGTTGCGTAGTCATCATACGGTTGCGTGAAGGGTTGTGTAGTCATGATACTGTTGCGTGTAGGGTTGCCTATCATCATACAGTTGCGTAGGGTTTGGGTTAGGGGTAGGGGTTAGGGTTAGATGTGAAAATGTTGACGTAGGAGTTCGAAATACTGGCCGACAATCTGATGCTTGTGGGAGTGGCGCCACCGAAATTCTGCCAAATATGACGGCAATAGCGCGCGGCTGGTGCCCGATCAGTGGCGAATTGTCCGTAGCATCCACAGTCCGTCGACTGTTTGGGGGTGTATGTGACTGTGCACGATTATAGCGAACTCCTGCGTCAAACTTGTCACATCTAACGCTAAACCTAACCCTACCCTTAATCCTAACCGTAGCCCTAACGTTACCCCTAACCCTACCCTTAATCCTAACCCTAACCCTACCCCTAAACACGCAAATTTATCGGTCTTTAAAGCATACAGATCGGCCAAAAAATAAAAAAAAACAGATTTCCCCGCAGCGTCAAAAAAAAAAAAAACACCCAGATCTGGGGGACACAACCAAGCATTGTCAGCCCTAATGTCGACCTCACTGTCTTCTTTGATTCGTGACTTTTCCGCTCACTGTTTGCAATGCGGCCAAGGGACAGAACTCCCACTAAACCAAACTAAGCCGTCCAGCCCGCGTCCGGTATTGAAAGGAGAGCCGGAAGATAGCTAGCTAACTAAATGTAAAATACCCCCCTGAGCATTTATTTGCTAGCGCTGCGTCTGAGCTTGTTTCTTCAAATGTATCATTCATATACCTGCTCTGTTGACCTTCTTTGTTGATATGTTTATTATATGATAATAATAAAAGTATTTGTGCACTTATTTGTAGGCATTATTAGTTGACCGTCCGTTAACCTTCTGTCTGTGACGGGCGCTCTACGTCGTTTGTTTTGAAGTTATTTTACACTAGAGTTATCTGCCCTCACAAAATGGCAGCCGCCATGGATTCTGTTAGTTTGTTATTTAAAGCTTTGAATCAATTAATTGCCCCACCAACCTCCAAACCGTCATTTTCGAATGGTAATGACTACTTATTTACTTTACTTCCCATCTGTTCACAACTTAATCTAGAAGTTACTGCAATCTTTTAAGTAAAATATTGTGTATTCTGTCGTTTCTTTAGACAAGACTCGACTCAAACTCCAAACTGCGTCTTCAGCCGTCTTCTTCTCTCTCCAGGGGCCTTGAAGAAAAATTCATCACTCATCACAGTCAAATATGACTACCTTACCATTACCAGTTCGAGTTTGATAGATTTTGTCTATTTCACTTGAAAGGATTGATGTATTTGTGGTTCTCCTTGCAATAACGGTCGCTACTTGCAGTGCAATTACGGAGTGGACAAGGCACGAATCACAAAACACAGTGAGTTCAACATGGCGTCTAGACCATGCGCTGCGACTCACATTACCCTAACACAAACCCTCCCCCTAGCCCTAATTATGTCATTTGTGTCGTTCCCTCTTTACCACTCCGTAATTGCACTGCAGCCAGGGGACTGAACTCCGACTAAGAGGCCATCGCCGTCCAACTAGCGACCGTTATTGCAAGGAGAGCCGATCCCTTTTCACGCCTTTAGAATGCGTATTGGGCATGTGGGAAGAGCACCCATACTTTCACAGACCATCGGCACTAGGTGGGTAATGTGGTCAGCATTACCCCGGCCGTCTTTACTTCCCCATAACAACAATCCTGGTACCCATTTTAGGCTGGGTCGACCTGCGACGCCCCATACCATGATGAAAAATCCACGCAGCCAGCAGTGGGTTTCGATTGCCATACGTTGGAATTACGAGTCGGACTCGCAATGCCTAAGCCGCAGACGACGCCTAGGTAATATAAGTGAAAAAAATTGCCATTACCGAAATATGCTTGAAAAAAAGTCCTAGAATAATTTCTCAAGATCATCATCACGTGCCCCGCTGACTGGCGTGGTCGTTCATGCATTTCTGCAGATCTCGGTCCTTTGGATCATTCACACCAGTGATATGATATCCCTCTTGGTCTGGTTTTGAGCTTCTCACTTGTCACACCAGTATTCTTTAAAGTCCCCCCCCCCCCCCCCCCCCCAATCTTTTCCATATAGCTATATATATTGATCTTTTTTCATAAGCTTTTTTGGCTATCTTCCGAATAACGGTCCCAAATTATCGAGGCAGAAAATATAATTGTGCACTTCCGGCAACTTGAATTGTGCACTTCCGGCGACTTCCGCCACCGCCGAGAGTATGCCCCATGCCGCTCACGCGCTGTGGATTGGGACTAAACTAGATGGCTGGGACTCACGAGCAGCAGCTACCGCATTTCCTGCAGCTGCCTTCATTTTATTTGCTCATGAGTCCTAGCCATCTAGTTTAGCCCCAATCCACGCCGCATGAGCGGCGTGGGGCATACTCTGGGAGGTGCCGGAAGTTGGCAATTCTGCGGCGGCGATATAGTCCCCGGAAGTACGCAATTGACACGTGACTGAAGCCCTGTTAGGGATATATTTTCTGCCTTGATAATTTGGGACCGTTATTCGGAAGATAGCCGCTTTTTTCAAGCAATCCTCATTAGTTACTCTAGCTGTTCAGAGGATTCTTCTGAGGAACTGCATCTCCATCACCTTTAGATTCTTTATAATTTGTACATTCACGTTTCATGATTCACTACTATACAGCAATATAGATTCTAGATAACATTTTAGTACTCTCTTTCAAACATCCAAAGAGAGGAACCTGTTGCTCACTTCACAAATCATTCTTATTCATGTCCCAGGGTGCAAATGTAAGCCCTAGTAAAGATATTCAACCTGACAGATGGATTTCATTTGTCAGTTGAAACTCATATATGTATTATAAAGTAATGAATGTATAAAACTATAAGTCAATAATATTGTGATTAATGCTTTTAAAAATAATAAATTATTTTAATTGAGTATTTTAAAAATTCTAAGCAAGTGCCTTTGGATGAGAAGTAAATTCTTGTGTATAAGTAAGAAAAACTTGGTGGCTTTTGGCATATCCTTAGGATGACTTTTTTGTACTTAAATAAATGTATATTTTTGTGCTTGAAATAATTTAGATTTATGTGTGTACACACACATGCGCCCACACACACACACGTGCACACACAAAGACATTCCTTGAAAACATGCCCTAAGGTGTTTTAAAGAGAATAAATAAATATAAGACCTGGTCTTATTTTTTTTTTAGAAATATGGTAGATAGTGTGCTGTGAACTATGTTGTTTGTGTCCTAACTTTTTCTGGCCCATGAATTTTGGCAGACTTGGCCCACATTAATTTCTTTTTACAAAAATGACAGAGATAGTGGTGTACAATAAAGGCAATAGCGAATGTAATATACTTATAATCCCTACAAAAGTATACATATTTTTAAAAATAAATTAATGTACAGTTTGAATATGATGATAAGTATATGTTTAATACTGTTATATTTAGTAGGAAAGAAGAATTCAGCACGTGTTAATTTCACAACATAATGAAAAAAAAAATCTTCACTTACTATAGTTTTGCAGCTTCAAGTGAGGTGAATATCCTAATTTGAGAATAATACTTTAAAGTTTGTTCAGTTTTCTAACAAATTCCAAAGTCATGGTAAATTTCTGGGTTAGTTTAGCACTCAAGGGATCTTAGTTCTGACAGAGTGCTGAGCACAATTTCGAGAAAAAATGGCAGAAACATGGACTATTACACATACACACACTTTACTGTGTACAGTTATATACAGACTCAAGCTGCAATCATTTCAATGTAGCTAAAGCATAGTATAGTACTGTCTATTTGTTTGGATCACTTTCCTTCTCTTACATCCTGAATACGGTAGCAGTGGAAATTTTCTGTGTAAACTCATCAGAATCACCAGATTCTCTAACAGCTGATTTCTCAGCTGCCGCTGGTCTAAATTCACCGTCCGAATCACTTTCAGAAAAAATATACATTTTCATTAGCATTATCAGAACTATAAACATCCGACTGAAACAATTTTCAGTTTCGGCCGCAGACAGATGCATTTTGCAGCCTGTACTTGTGGTTTGAACGTTGGTATCCACGGCACTCAAAAAGTTAGAAAATGCATTGTTCGACTCTAGCTATCTATGAATCGGATCAATCTGTCCACATGTTTTGGAACACAGAATTTTATTCACAAGAAAACATTAGAGTAACCTTTTCTGAATGCTTGAATGGTAGTACCCAACATTAGAAACAAATATGGAGCCATGTGCGAAACAATATGTACGGGACACACAATCAACTCTGACAGTGTTGTTTGGGCAAATAGGAACTTCTTAGTCAACACTCACAACCTTGCTTAGGCCTTAAAGAGTAAATTGTTAAAATTTACAATAGGGAGAAATTGCTTTGATGTATGAATTTCTGTTTTTCAATAATTCTGTTTTGTCACTAAATTCTTTTCAGAGACATCAGAAGAGCTTCTGGATAGTATTTTGCACAGGAATCTTGCTGCCTTTCAGCATTGTCTTGCAGAATCTCAGGATCTACAAGATATTATTGGAGGCAGCAGTCATTTGCTGCTCGAAGCTACTGGAAAGTCTATATTTCATGGTTCTAAAATTGTACCAATTAGACAAAAATTTACCGAAGTCTGTATTATCATCTTGCATCATATTTGTGACTGTTTCACCAGGATTATTTGTGAAGCTAACAAGGCTGTCACCAAAGATATTTTGGACTCTACATCTGTAATTCACCACGATAAACCAAAACCAGCTGTGCCGGATTTACCGCCAGATGCTATAAGCATTCAACAGGAGAAGACAATCAGCTCAGCTGTGCAGTTTGTAGTGGTGTTAGGCATCTGCCCATATCTAATTCCTGGTGTAGGAATACCTGTCTCCCAGCGACTTGGTCCAGGGCAGATATTACTTGCAACTGGTCATGACTACACAACAGAGTTGAATGATTTCAGCAGAATTCAACTTCTGATACCTGCCATCAAACTGTTTTCTTCCATGCTTGAGCTGCCATCCTTCAAAGATATCATACTGAATAATTACCTCACAGATCTGATAGCGGCTGTACTTCAGGTCCGGCATTGTGTGAAAGTGATCCTGCAGAGAACTGAAGTACCCAGACAAGAAATCTCAGCTGTTAGCGCTGACTGTGGTGGTGGTGGTGTAAAAATGGTTGAGTCCTGCGAAGGGAATACTAGACAGTTGAATCCTCAGCAGAAGATCACTGCAGAGACTTTGTCCAAAGCTGGAGTCGTATCTGATCAGATGGAGCTGCGTGACTGCTGTACTGCAATATTCTCTAATGTATTACCAGACATGTGCCCTAATACTTCAGGGCAGCCATGGACATTGCAGTCAATAGCAGAATTTTGTAGCAGAGTCTTGGACAGCGCAATGAAATCATCAGCCGTGCCTCATGTCTTGACACAGTTAATGTTGTTGTCTGGAGGCACTCAGGTGAGAACACTTTTATTAGTATTCTTGCCACTTGCATGCACACACACGCACACACACGCTCTTTCTCTCACTCCCACCCCATAAGACTTTGTTAACATGAAATCCAAGGGACCAGAAAAGTCAAGAGTTCATGTTCATGCTTATGACTACTAGATTTATGCTGGTACCAGAATTTTATTCACGTTATCTGAGTGTTCAGCTTAAGCAAGTTCTTGTTAACAATTTTTTACTGTATTTTGTTTCACTCCCCTGTATCTGAGTATCTGATTTGTGATTGCTACATTTTTAACTTTTCATTTCTCACCCCTGTTTGAGTTTCTGCAATGTTATTCACTTCATGTTCCAGCTTGAATATCTTGTATATGATTGTAAGATCTAAAAAAAAATTGTCAAAGTAGCAATTTATCCCCACCAACATTTTCATGGTTTGCCTTTTTTTTCTTCTTTTCGAAACAGCAGAGGGATGGCCCACGACCTGTGACTCCCAAGTGGTTCAGGAGGACAATAGCTTGCATGCTGAGAGATGTGATCATGGTTCCACCAGGAGTTCAACATCTGATTACACTTTTTGTTGGAGGTATGTGTAAAACATGATGTGGGAAGTCTGAAGAAAAAAATGTCTATATGATAAAATTTTGGTACTAGTTAGTTGCATGTCATTTACACAACCTCACAAGCCACCCCTGTAGCACTTCTTGGCTGTTTGTGGTTGCTTATTCAGTTTTTGTGTTCAGTAGTTTCCTATTTCTTTTACTGTTACTAAAATCAGGGCAAAGTGGTCTATTGTCAGTTCACATGTAGCTGATTCTGGACCCTGGTAAATCAGAATTGTGAAACTGCAGTTATGAACCCTCAGCAACAGGCACCAACACTTTAAAAAAAGGTTTATGACTACATATGTTGATTTTTTTAGTTTATTTAATTTAGGGTGACCATAAATCCCACTACCCCCCCCCCCCCCAATGCCATTTCTTCCTTGCTCAAAGATCATCACCCCACCAGATCTGTACACTCTTTGTGTGCAGGCTGTTGAATTTTGGAGCTCATACACCCAGTATGTGGCACTTTTTGGTTTTCCTTTCCATCTCTTCTCCCTCCTCTCTGTTTTCTGTTTTGACTGTCTTTGTGTCTCTCTTATACTCTTTCTTCTAGCAGTTGTAATTAATAATTTATTGTTGCTGATGTTTAAGATTATCTGATAAAAGATGTATGAATCAAATAATGTATGAAAGCAGGGAGGTTAGGATAGTAGAATATTATGTCCAATTATTAACCCTTTGAAAATAAAGTTTGTTCATTCATTCTCTCTCTGTGTCTCTCTGTCTGTCTGTCCGTCTCCCCTCTCTCTCTTTTTCTCACTCCAAAAAATAACATCTTTTTCTGATCATCAACAGATTCTACACCAGAGAGTTCCCAGAACTGGCAAAAGTACAGAGCGGTTGCTCAGATCATTTCTCGATGCCCTGTAACTGCTAGTAACATGAGACAGTTCTACACTTCAGTCTCCAGACAGGTGAATCTTTGGTGCTGTTTTCGTCATCATTTTTAGGTGTCACTGCGTCAGACAAAGATGTGTGATCCTGTCTAGTTTTTATTTGTCTTTTTCTGCCATTTCATTTTCAACAGAGGTTTGGTCTTTCAGCCAACTTATGCTAGGCCCTTTGTAGGCTTTTTGCTGGTTGATTGTATTTTGCAGCTTAACATTTTCTTTGAAATCTTCTTTCTTGAGCGGTGGTGCTGTGAGGGGTGAGCAGGGGGTCTGACTGATGCTCAGCACTCAGGGGAAAGGTCGAGATAAATATAGTCAGACAGTTACTGGTACCATCAGAGCTGGAACTCTGTGCTTGCTGCTGAAGATAGGGACGGTGTGCTTAGGAGAATGTCCTGAGTGCTGTAATGTCAATTCTTTCTTCAGCATTCAACATTCTTTCTTCAGCATTTCATTGTAGAATGTTGAGTGTCCTTCCTGGGTGTTTGGTCAGTAGCTATTACCCTATTGCCCTGTTCCTTGACTCCATAGCACAGGGGTAGGCACCCACCACAATTGTTGGGTGGAGCCCTTCGAGGCAAGAGGCCTGGCCCTATTTCTGCCTGGTGGGGCTGCACGAGATTAGCACCAAATCAACATATTTTGGTGATGTCATGAAATAAAATCACCATTGATTGGCATCAGGAGAGCTAATAGACTTAAACGGCTGGGGCATATTGAGAGAATGTCAGATTACAGAGAGGTAAAATGTGTATACGCAAGGAAGCTGAGTGGTCCTAGACCACAGGGCGGACCAAGAAGATCATGGAGAGATCATGTCCAGACAAACATTTGGTGTCACCAACTGGAAAGAGAAGGCCAACCAGAGAGATGAGTAGAGGCGGGTGATATCTGCAGCAATAAACTTTAAGGGCTCGGAGTGCTGAGGAGGAAGAATGAACTGAGGTATGTCTCCCTTTATCTGATTCCTCTTCTTCAACCTGTCTGACAAGAAGACCCTACCACTAGTTAAGCTACCATCAGCATAGCTCTTAGGGTCACTGGAACACACAAGGCCCTCTACCACTGCATGATATAGAAACATCATAGTGGATTTTCTATTGCTTGAGATAGACATTCTTACACCAGCCCTCCTTAGCCATCTTTCAGGACATGCTTGGCAATTTAGTGTTACTCATATTTTCTTTGGTCACCACGGACATCTTGTTTTGATGTCTTATACACATTCAGTGTTTGCCATGTGTGTTTTTAGCTTGTACTTCTCTATCAGAAAGGGGAAAAGTGAATGAAAATAAAGAAATTAGTGACCCTATGCTGCTTTGACCCATGTAATGAGAGGATAAGATTTTCACAAGAAGTATGATGACTACTCATTTAAGATGAATTTAAATAGAACAGTCACACTTTGTGTTATCATCATCATCATCACCGTCGTAATCATCATGTAACAGTTCTTTTGCAGAACGTTGATCTCATCGCGGTCTGCATGAAAGAAACTAGGTCTCTCGCCAAATCTTCTGCCTCAAACACTATCCTACCCACGGTGTCATAATGCATCCATCTTTGTGTTGTTCAGCCACTGCCCTTCTTTCCTGGTACTCTTCCATCTACTGTTATTCTTTCCAATCCACTGTGGCATTTGATGGGGCCAAAGTATCTCAGTTTCCATGACAGGATATTGTTTACTAGCCAATCTTATTTTGTGTTGATTGTCATGAATATGAGTCAGCGTAGTCATGAATATGAGTCAGCGTAGTCATGAATATGAGTCAGCGTAGTCATGAATATGAGTCAGCGTAGTCATGAATATGAGTCATTCATACGTAGTTAGTTATTTCCTATGGGAAATGTTAATCATGTTTTTTCAGTCAAGTCTGTCTTCTGTTGTATGTCTCCATTGAAGGTATCTTCAGCTGCCATGTTACTATAGTCTCTAGTATACTTAGCTGTCATTAGCTATGGAAAAAGAGTTCGGTGCAGTGATGCCAGTTCTTCATTAATTAATTAATTCATTCATCAATGTTTATCTATCTGAATCGTGGCACGGTGATTTATGTCACAGGCGTGAGGGAAAGTTAAGTCCAACATGATATGTATAAGGAGATACTCCGTACCTCACTCGGGCGCCAGTCCTTCACTGTTCTGGTTGTACGGAACCTCACGCAAGACCCCTGCAGCACGTCCTCGTTGTGCGCCATGGATAATGTCTCAAATGAGCATTAACAGAGCTGTCAGGGGATCTCGGAGTTTGGCGGCCCCCAGAGGTGATGTGTCCTTGTGGCTCTCATCAGCCCGCCCCCAAACGCATGGGTAAAAAAGGCAAAACTCATTAGGAACATGAGTAAAGTGCTTGCCGAATGTACAACTAAAATTACAACCCTTGGTTAAAAGATTGCGGAGTGAAGAGAACATTGTTCTGCTGAGACTCAACCCTTGACCTAGAGATTTACCCGCAGCACAGACGAGTAACATCTCCTGTGGGTGGCGTCTCGCAGCAAGATGGTCAAAATTTGACCATCACAAATCTTATTGAATGGAAAAAGTCCAAATGTCCACACCCAAAGACCCCACTCGCCCGAGTGTTGGGACCAAATAGATAACGATATGCCTGACGCAGGATGTTAAATTTTGTCGGGCTAACGGTTCGTCAAAGATACCTAACGTGCGAAGAAAAAGAATGTACCTATTTGGGTGGTCACAAAAGTCCAGAATTCGCGGGCTGCTCCCCACTGACTTCCGGAGGGCACAGCCCTTGTCGAGCGGGAGGCCTAATACGGTTGTGAGGTCAAGCAGGCATGTGCAGGACGAGACGATTCCTTGGGTGAGCCCAGAATCAGAGCGCCATGTGCCGGCTCTGCAAAAATGGAAACCTCTTTGGATGGCGGGGAATGCCCATGATCTGCCCCTGCCTTCCCTTGAGGGCTAACCGTTCCACAGGGGGCTGCCCCAAAGGGGTACTCCGGGGACAATACCTGCAGAGAAGGAGACAAAGTGGACACCACACAAATCAGGCAACGTCTTGACCCACACAAAACAATGGCCACAGTCATCCTAGAAATAGGCCTGACGTCTTCCCTCGAAGTCGGAGTACAGCTGCCCTTGAGGCAGGGAACAGCAAAACGGTTGTACACGCAAAACTCAGGTCCAGGTAAAAGCCAAAAGTCCAAGCGGATGATTAACCGGGACCTTCCGCCGGAATTCACAGCCGGTGAATGAAGAAGAAGATCTATCTGAATCTTCACTAAGGCATATTTTAAAATATACTCAGGCTTCCAGGTTGACCCAGTCAAGAATTGGTATGAGGAAATATCCTGGGAAGTAAAGATGACCAGGACATACCATATCAGCCACTGAGTGCCAATTGGTGTATACAAATTTGTGACCAACACAGTAAATTTAGAGGCATGGGAATGGAACTTCATAAAGTCTCAGTTTACCCCGTGTGGGTTCTGGAGCCCCATTTGGAAAAGGGGGAAGATAGACTTACTGTCCCCTAACAGGCATCTCATGAAAAGTCACTAATTAATAGTGTTTCCTTCAAAGTTGGAGTACATCTGCCTGAGAGGCAAGTAACCAACAGTCTGCATGCAAATAATTCAGATCTATAAAACTAATGTGCTCACTAAACTCCAGTTCTGGAACTTGATGAAACTTCAGTTCTCGAACTTGACAAGCAGGTTTCCATGTTTGGTTATTGAATCAACAATATTCAATTATTTGACAGCTCATTGAGCTGATTCAGACTCCTGAGACCAAGGTATCACCCCATGTAATCAGAGCAGTTGGTGCCACCATTCAGGAGTTAACCAGCCTACAGTCAGTTCTTATGCAAGAAGTCTGCCTGTCGCACTTGTTTTACCCACTGTTGAAGCTTTCGTGTGACCCAGGTAATATTTTTTGTGTTTTATTATTGTTTATAGTGTAATAATAGAAATTAATATTAGGAACCGCCTTGGTGTGTCAGCCAGATGGTCACCTCCAGTTCTGAAGGACATGGGTTTGGGTCCTCACTGAGTTTTACTTGGGGGAAAAAAAGGGCCTCAGCCTCCAGGTTGACCCAGCCCTAAATGGGTAACAGGAAAAACCCTTGGAAGTAAAGGTGGCTGGCATGGTGTTGACCACATCACTCACTGATTGGTGTATACAATCAGGTCCAGCCTTACATGCCCAATACGTCTGAAGGTGTGGATAGGGATCTTTTATTTTACTTTAATAGGAATAGTATTAGTACTGTATGCTGGCAGTACATATATGGTTTAAGGGCTCAGTGTGGTAGCATCTTTGTCAGGTGAACAGAAATGGCAGCACTTTACTATGCAGATCACCAGTCTGTTTCCATGACCCAATGAATAGTAGCTTGATAATCTACTATACTTGTCATAAGAGGAAATTGGGTGCTTTATTAATATCCTACTCCGAACAGGGAAAATCCACAGGTCACGGGGCAGTCTAATATTTCAGGGGGTGGTAGATAGGTTGCATCTGTCTTGGAACCTAGGCTGCATGCAGTTGTGGGACCTGGGCTGCACTCTCTTGTGGGACGTAGGTGGGTTGGGGTTAGGGCCAGTTCTAGATATTTTGGGGTCATTAAAAGCATAAGAAAGTCGGAAAACCCAGTCTTACCACCTTCTAAAATGTTGGACTGTCCTGTGACTTCATCTGGGGTAGGATATTAATAAAGTACTGGAAATTGAAAGTTATTGTGATACTGGTTACTTTATTAAATAGAAAACTGTTTATGTAAAATGCAGTCGTTTAGATGTGAGCTCTGCATCCATTTGGAGATGAAAAATGAAAGGCACCTTCTATTGATAGGAATTGTTGGGAGCAAAATCTTGCTGCAGTCACTGCAGGGGTCCATACATTTATTAGTGACAGTTCAGTTGAGGTAGATGTGCTAATCTGCACAGATGCATCTGTTTTAAACAGCACAAGTGCATTTGCAGTTACAGCATGCTTTGCAGGCATAAAAGTTTAGGAGGCTATTGGTGTCATTCCTAGCTAGCACATGACAGCGAAGCTGACTGCGGTGAAACCAGCATTCATATGGCTGGAATCACAGGGCTATTCCCATCAAGAGTACTGGATGATTCCTTCGGCATGATCCATGGGATAAGGTGGGCACCACGCTCAGGCAGGGGAGCTAATTCCGGCAAAGCTCAAATCATGTATGGAGTTACCTCATCTTTGTCCTGAGGAATACGTTTGTTGTTGGCAATGAAAGATCTGATGGATTGATAAATTGGCTAGGTGTGCCATTGTTGCTGATGGTCAGAATAAATATCATCATTGAAATTGTAGGTACAATATTTTTTGCCTCCCCCAAACACGAAATTCCCGTGGGAATTCCACAGCTGACTTGACAGTCCATTATTTCAAGGGGTGCAAGTGTGCTGCTGTCTGCTGCTGTTTTTGAGTGTTCATCTAGTGTCTTATGGTGCGACATATTTCGGTTTGTTGATGCGCATTTGGCTGCTTGATGATGCGCAATTGGCCGGTCTGCAATATTAGTCATGTTTTCATAACATGTATACATGTGAGTGCATAGCGTAGTTGGTATCACATCTGCCTTGTAAATGAAAGATGCCGTGTTCAATACCGACGTGATCCATTGTGAATTTCCTTTTTTTTTTCAAATGAAATGTAAATTGTGTGTGTTTTTGTTGTCACAATGTTTTTTTAAAAAATGAAATGTAAATTGTGTGTGTGCATGCGCGTGTTTTTTTTAAAAATAAAATGTAAATTGTGTGTTTTAAATGAAATGTAAATTGTGTGTGTGTGCGTGCGCGCGTGCGTGCGCGCGTGCGTGTGCGTGCGTGCGTGTGTGTGTTTTTGTTGTTGTCACAACGTTTTTTGTAAAATTAATGGAGTGATTGTTTCTGCAACTTCTGGTTCTGTGCAGAATGCCATGCTGTTGCAGGAAGGCAATACTGCTTTCCTTGTCTTGTACAGATGCAACTAGCTGTAGAAAATTCATTGTGACTGCTGCTGGAAACAATGGCAACTGACTGACGCCGGAAAAGAGCGGTAAACATACGTCATCAATGTTGACACTTTTCTTTGACAAAAACATCCAAAATGGAGTCAAAAAAGATCTTAAAATATCCAAATTTGCGTGGAAAACATATAGAAAAAAAATCCAAACGGGAAGAGTCACAAATTACATAGCTATTAATATGACTAAAATGTGTAGCATTAATCTGTACCGAAAAGTAAATGTGGCCAGTGTAACAGCTACCACATCACCCTTAGAGTGCCAGTACTACTGCTGCTACCACTACCACCACCACCGTCACAACAACAACACAAAACGGTCACTACTGTCTGTACAGGTCGTTGTAAGTGTGCCCCCGACATAAAACTCCATCACTTAACCATGGGCGAACGCAAGGGGAAAGGGGGGAGGGGGGGGGGCATTTGCCCTGGATTGATTGAAAAAAACAACAAATGCTGTTGCTTGTTCATCTGCAGCAGCAACGCTATCACCAGAACCAGACCCGGACAAACTTGAAAGTAGAGATACTATGTTAACCTAGGACATTGAACTCTGTGTAAAATCTACTACGAAGATTCGATCTTAAGCTCAAGTATCGTTTGCTAACTGATCCATACAAGCCTCACCCGTCATATGATTTTGAAGGCGACATGTCAGGAAGTGGAAAACCTTGTTTCAGGAAATCTTGGCTAACCCAGTATTCTCTATGGTTATCATATTCACCTAGGTTAAAAAGTGCTTTTTGCATTTTCTGTGTTTTATTTAACTTTATACGTATCGAATTGAGGGAGGAGACAGTATTTTTAAAAAAAAACCATTTTGATACAGCTGCTGGAAATGCACGTTACACATCACACCGAACGCAGAATGGTTTGATTAATTTGTCTGAACAAGCTTTGCGAGAAGACATTGTAAAAGCTGTTAACAATGCTGTTGGATTCTTGATCATAGCCGATGGAACAGCAGATATCTTAGGAGCAGAACAGTTATCACTGGGAGTCCGGTTTGTAGATACGTCTAGTGAGAAGGCTATGATTCGTGAGGAATTCCTTGGATTTTCTCCCCTGAAAGGTATGGACGCCGTAACGATATCTGATTGTATTATTCAACATTGCAAAACATTTAGTCTTCTCCTTAATAATCTGCTGGGTCAAGGTTATGATGGGTGCTCGACAATGGCCGGAAAAGAAAATGGTGTTCAGGCGAAAAATTCGAAGAATTTACCCCAAGGCTGCCTTTGTTCGCGGTGCCTCGCATATACTGAATCTCGTTGAAAATGATCTTAATAATGTTGCATTGATACGAAATACTATTAGTACTATCAAAGCAATTATTACATTTTTTTCGTGAAAGCCCAAAAAGGAGGTCCTCTGTCCCAAATATTCCTATTCTGTGTGAGACAAGATGGACAAGCAAGTATAAAAGTATTCAGATTTTTTCTAGTAAATTTGCCAACTGGAAACATTTTCATTGCATGCAAGTGGAAATACACGACAGGCTGCACATCAGTTACATTGTTCATCAAAGTCCAGCACGTTTTTATTTTGTCTCAATATTATTTCTCAAGACTTGGAACCAGTTACTCAGGCTCTTCTAGCTGTTCAAGTTGATCTTCCAGAAGTCCAACTGCAAGTTCAAAACCTGCTCAGTGTAGTAAAACTTCACCGAGGTGATTCCGATAACTATTTCAGTGATATTTTTGTGAAAACACTACAACTCGCACAGAAAGTGGATGTTGAGCTGATTATCCCAAGACAGAGTGGAAGACAAAAGTATCGAAGTAATCCGGGAACCATAAGTGTTGAAGAGTACTTCAAACTGTTTACATTCCATACTTAGATTCTCTAATTAACTCAACTGAGAGTCGATTCTGTGAAGCCAACAGTGCACAATTTAACTTAGCGTTGCTACATCCTTCGAAATTGTGCAAACTGTATCGTAAAAAGTTTAACGATATAATGTCTACTATTATTCAGATATACTACATTGATAATTTTGAAACTTCTTCTTCTTCTTCTTCGCGTTCACCAGCTGTACACTCTGGCGTAAAGTTCTGGTTGTTCAACCACTTCTGGACTGCAGCCATGCTCCAGAACATGAGTGTTGCGTGTGCATCAGTTTTACAGATCTGATTCAATTGAATGCAGACTGTTGGTTCCTCGCCTCTCAGGCAGATGCACTCCGACTTCAAAGGAAGTTTCCCAGTTAGTCGACTCTTACGACATGCTTTTGGGGAGGCAGTGGGTCTATTCTTGTTTTCCCCACAATAGGGCCCGGAACCCACACGGGGGAGGGAAAACGCAAGAATGCAGAAGTAGACAAGATTTTATCGACTTGTACCTTTTACAAAGTTTTATCTGAGTGTCAGGTATGCCTTACTAGTTTTGCTAACATTACCAGCAACAACATGTACTGTGGAGCGATCGTTCAGCACATTACGTCGTCGTGTAAAACATGGCTTAGATCTGCAATGTCAGATAAACGTCTGTATGGATTGTTTATGTTAAGCAAATCCAGGCCGGCAACGAAACAAATAATGATTTGACCGTTGCTGGCGCTACGTCGTTCGTGGTTTGTGCGATTTATGAAAGTACTTACAACGAGCTTTGGTGATATCCCCGGGAACTGCCAATATTTTTTTGTTCATACTTTACTTTTAGCATATTGAAATGTTTATTCAAAGTGAAAGCCACATAGGAAGGTGAGCAATTATTTTTTTTAAATCACATGAAAAAGAAACACAAAGTTAGCACAGTGAGGTTACGGTTGAAACAAAGTAAGTGTGATTTGCGCACCCTTTTAATTAATCAGTACCGGGGCTGCCAGATATTTGAGCTTTGACCCCAGTGAATGTTCAAAGTTTGAGTAACTGAAAGAAAAAAACAATAATAACTGGAAAAAAAATTTTCAACTCAAATCAAAAGCATCTAGAAAAACATCTACCATAAGAAAAAAAATATTTGACTCCAAATGAAAAGCATCTAGAAAAGCATCTACCATTTAAACGTCAAAAAGACATCTAAATGGAAGGAAAAACATATGAAAAGCATCTAGAAAAGCATCTACCATTTAAACGTCAAAAAGACATCTAAATGGAAGGAAAAACATATGAAAAGCATCTAGAAATGCATCTACCATTTAAACGTCAAAAAGACATATAAATGGAAGGAAAAACATATGAAAAGAATCTAGAAAAGCATCTACCATTTAAACGTCAAAAAGACATCTAAATGGAAGGAAAAACATATGAAAAGCATCTAGAAATGCATCTACCATTTAAACGTCAAAAAGACATATAAATGGAAGGAAAAACATATGAAAAGAATCTAGAAAAGCATCTACCATTGAAACGTCAAAAAGACATTTAAATGGAAGGAAAAACATCCGAAGTGGCAACACTGAACGTCATAGTAAAGGCGCGCTTTGCAAGAGCGCGCTTTTGCGATGTGAACAACTTGGATGTAGAGAAACCGCGAGAAACCACAACCTGAACACCCTAGAATTTATTGGGAATGTCTCCTGTGATGTCATTGTGACGTCATTGTGAGAAACCACAACCTGAACACCCTAGAATTTATTGGGAATATCTCCTGTGACGTCATTGTGACGTCAGGGGTACGCAAAAAATATAGTACCAAATTGTAAATAGCTTTCAAGAGCGAAAGAGGACAGTCTGCTCATTTTGGTAGCATTATGTCTACATCACAGCTAAGAATGCGAGAATCAACATAAGACTGGCACTATTAACCATGGGATGCTGATGTATATATTGGGGGAGGAGGAGGGGGAAGGGGTGGCTCTGAGCACTTATGGAGGTGTCCAGAGTGCAGCGAAGATAACCCAACTTTTAGCTGGCCTTTAAAGATAGCAGAACATGTCAAAGCAGGTATATTCCAGTGAAAATTAGATATAGACTGATGAATTACATTTTGAAATAAACTTATGAATTATGATTTAGTTTTCAATAATTACTTTTTATTTGATTTCTTCCCCAGATGATACAACAGTAATGAAAGATGGACAGATTGTAGTTCCGGAAGAAATGCTAACACATTGTGTTGTTCTTCTGCATAGGGTAACTTAATTTGTTTTTGTTATTTAGGCTTGTTCCTTATTTGTGTTTAACTGCTCCTGTTCTTTATGATGTGGTTGTAATGTTATGTTGTTGTTAACGAGATCATATCCTAATACTTTCTTTTCCAAGCAAGTACCATGTGTGACTGGTTCTTCTCGGTCTGTACCTGCATGTGTTTGTGTTTGCACTTCTTCCATTTAATCTGATAATGTTACAGAATCTTCTATGTCAAATGATATTTTGATGGCGTTGACCTAGTCTATTTCTGTGAGGTTTTTGCTTACATCTTTCGCAGCTTTCATTTTTTTATGGGGAGGGGAGGGGGCAGGGCTATTTTTTATGAGTAGTCTTTTCACACCCGTACCTCTCAAAATACAGTTTTTTTTCCCTTATCTGTCCGTAGTATTCTTAACATTCTTTAAAATGAAAAGATACTTGTCTGCCACCTCTTCTTACCTCACCATTTCATTGTTCACTGTGTAGCAGTAGCATCCTTATAGAAACAAATTTCAGTAAGCAAGTGTTCTCACCTGAATGTCTCCAGACAACAACATTAACTGTGTCAAGACATGAGGCACGGCTGATGATTTCATTGCTCTCTCCAAACTCTGCTACAAAATTCTGCTATCGACTGCAATGTCCATGGCTGCCCTGAAGTATTAGGGCACATGTCTGGAAATTCATTAGAGAATATTGCAGTACAGCAGTCACGCAGCTCCATCTGATCAGATACGACTCCAGCTTTGGACAAAGTCTCTGCAGTGATATTCTGCTGAGGATTCAACTGTCTAGTATTCCCTTCGCAGGACTCAACCGTTTGTTATTGCATATTAAAAGATTTATGAATAAAATTATGTATGGCAGGAATGAGGCTAGAAGGGCAGATTGGTAAACCAGCCTACATGCCCAATTCTTAATCTTTTGAAAATAAAGTTTTTTTGATTGTTCATTTATTCTTTCAAAAGAATGTTTTGGTGAGGACATTCTTTTCTTTATCTCTGACTCACATCTTCTGCCAAATGTCATGAGATATGGAATCCTGAATTGTATGCCTTTGCTATTTATAAAACCCATTAGAATTTATCCTTTCTTGGAAAGGCATTCACTTTTGTAAATATTGAATGATAATCCCTTCCAGCACCCAGTCTAGAATAATTTACAGGCAACTTTCAGGCTCTGCTATTAAACTTGCATTATCGACATATATTAGAGTATTTGTATTTTGGCCCTACAACTCTCTTTAGTTGTTTGATGTTTCTGAGTAGTGTCTTGATTTAAATCTTGGAGAGATCATACAATAAAGCATATCCTTGTTTAATTCTGTCGCCCCAAGAGAGTTATTTTTCCGGCAAATGATAACCAAATGATTACCCACATCAGAAGGAAACAATCAACATTTTTTAGTCATATATCGAGAAAGGGAAAACTGGAGTGCATCAAAGGTGGTGAGAAAGTTAGAGAGGAAAGAAGCAAAGAGACCAAGAGAAAAGAGGTTTGACAGTTTGACAACATGGCGAGGAAGACTCTTTCTGTCAGAAATGATTGAAAATACAAGAAACAGAAGGATATTGTTAGATATGACAACCAGTGCAGCACAGCATGAACTATCAGAAGAAGAAGAATATTTTATGGGTTATATTGTTTTATCACCCTTATAATGTACACTCTGAACTGATCACTACATGAGTTGTACCAACCATCTGGTTGTAGTTTACCAAGTTTCAGAAGAGTGGAAATAGAAATGAAGTTGCTGAGAGAAATAATAAGAGACAAGTGAAATATTTAAGATACAATGAAAAAAAAACAATGCTCAAATACAAACAAAGAGGAAAAACTAAAGCAGGAGGTAGACAGTGATACAAGTGAAAGAATACAATTAAGACAGGATGCACAACAGTCTCAGAGAGTGTACAGCCATGACAGTGGAATGTTTTTTTTTAGATCCACTGCAGCATTGTAGAGACAACACCTAAGAGATTGATTGAGTTTATCGGAGGTTTGTTTAAACAAAAAATAGGTAATATCATTAAATAATAAACTTTTTTTCAAAGGATTACAATCTCTTCTTTTGTTTAACATATTTTGCCAGATTTTTGTGATTGGCCAGGAGCCACAGTCAAGTCTGCTGTCACAGCTGTGTAAAGTTGCCAGAATTGTATTTTCGCTGTATAATTTTACAAGGAGCAGTATAACATTAATCAAGTTAGTATTTTTCATTATTCAATTATCTGTGAGTGAAAACTAACAAGGGGCTAGTGCACTCACCTTCTGACTTGGTGGTCCTTGGTTTATGTCCTTCCCTGAAGTGATTGAATTGTGTGTGTGTGGAAATCTTTGGGATTTACTCAAACTAGTTAAGAAAACTGAAATGGTTGAGGCATATTGAAAGAATGTCAGATGACAGAGAAGTAAAAACTGTATACACCAGTGAGATGAATGGTCGTAGACCACGAGACGATGGAGAGATAATTTCCAGACAGACCTGCAAACACTTTTGGTGTTACCAAGTGGAAAGAGAAGGCCAACCAGAGAGATGAATGGAGGTGGGTGATATCTGCAGCAATGAACCTCAAGGGCTTGCAATTCTGAAGAAGAAGAAGTTAAGAAAAAACTGACATCCTAAAAGATCTCATTATTTCTTTTATTATCATACTCTTATTTATTTATTTAAAAATTTCTCAGCATCAAGAAAACTTGGCTAAACACCATCTTGTCTCAGAAATGGAAATATTTTGTCTGTATCAAGTGCCACAATGGATTTGAAAGAATAGTTGCAGAAGGCAAGGTGCCAGAAAAGGGCTGACCATCAGGAAGATGGGCACACAATATAGGTGACAACTTAAGTAGGATAATGTACCAGGCGGGATTTCTGGTCAGAGATCAAATTTCTTTCAGGCAGGCTGTGATAAGAGTGACATTCTACAGCAGACCTGCTACATATTTTTAATTCCAGATTTCTCTGATATTGGTGTTTCTTGAAATCTTTCTCTATTGTACTCTAGATGTAATCTTTGCAACTTGGTGTATAAAGACCTCTTGACCTTGATTTTTAATTTGGAACCAACCAGGTAGTGGCCACTATGATGCTCAGCTCCTCTGTAGCTTCTAACTTCTGTGTCTGCTGTATTTCTATTATTGATTAAAATGGGATCTATCTGATTATAAGTTATCTTGTCATCTGATTGTTTATGTGTATCTTTTCATTGAAATCTGGTGCTGCTTATCTGTAGTCCTTTGGCTACTGCAAGGTTGATTAATTTCCATCCATTATCGTTTGAATTAGTATGTAAGCTTTCCATGCCTGCTACATTTTCATTGGTGTTTTCTCTTCCTACTTTTACATTGAAATAACTTAATACAATCAGTCTGTCCCGTTTTTGAGTTTCCTCTATGATTTTCTCAGGGAGATCGTAGCAAACTTCTTTAATACCATTTTCTTTATCTTCATTGGGTGCATGCATAATAATGATAGTGATTTTTTTTCCATTTTCTTTTTTTTTATTCGTAACTTACTGGTCCTATAATTAACAGCAGCAAAATGTTATAATACTTTCCCACAACTTTTTTCTTGATGACAAATACTGTCCCTAGTTCATGTTTGTTTTGCGTGTTACCTCCATACATTATGATCATTCCATTTTTTTCTATGGTACCTTGTCCTGGCCACCTTATTTCTTGAATCGTTGTGTCCATTTTGTAATATTATAACTCATTTGTCATTTCTTCGGCTACTCCAGCTCTATAAGGGGTTCGTACATTCCATGTTCCAAATCTCACAAGTTTTTCACGTTCCAGTTTTGTTGTCTGCTTAAAAAAAAAAATTTCCAAAGTATCCAGAAACCATGAGTTGTAAACCCTTTGGCTCGGTACTATGGATATCGCAACACTCCGGCCTTGATTCCATGATAGTTTGTAAATCTGAGAAAAATGTGGCTTTTCTGCCTACCCGGACCACAAGAAGTTTGTCACCCGGTTGCCCTGCAGAGGGTTTTAACCAACTGCACTAACGAGGCAGGCTGTTGTCTGTTTAAATCCATCTAAAATGTAGGCTTTGATATCTTTTTCATGACAAAATCAAGTTTTGTGAAGGTGGGGGTGTCTGTCCAATGCTTCAGCCCCGAAGCAGAAGGACTAGGGTGTCTCTCTTTGTCTGTTCTCTAACCTTTGACCTTTCCGGCTTTGGAAGCCCTGCTGATAGCTACGCTACTGCTGGCTTAGCTCTCAGGGTCATCGAGAAACACAAATCTTCCCCATTGCAGTAAGGTGGAAACACCTTCTGGGTTTATTACTGTCATTCATAAATAGGTTAGTTCGACGCTGCTGTCCCTATTTTCACACTCTTACACACTAGCTCACTTCTGATTGGTCGAACTTGAGCCACGCAACCTTGGCACAAGGTGATGGGGGTGTTTTGCAATGCCGCTGATATCGTGTGTTGTATTTTAGCATGCCAGCGCTTTTAACACTCCAAAAACATCTACAAACTTGGTCTAACACAAAACCCCTTTAGAGAGTGATTAAATCTATGTCACAGGCATTTTCTTTCTCGGAATAAAAACGTAAATGCAAGACAATCCAGAAAGCAAACAACAGAGCGGCACACCCGTAAGCTGCAGAAAAGTAGACCACCCCAACAGATTTGTCAATGGAACGTGACCTACTTTGTTTGGGCAGACTAACGTCGAACTAAATCATAAATAATAACAGTTACATTAATCTTGGAAATATTTGTGTGTGTGTGCGTGCGCTCACACACGCACACGTGCCGTTTGCCTCATGCTCTGAAGGTCGTCGGTTCATTTCAGCACTGCCGTTCAGCTCACAAGTGCAATTTTTACGGAGATCACAGGGAATCATCACTAGAGCTACAGAGTTTGTGCTTTGTGCAATGATCTTAGCACGCGGCTAGCTGTTCTGCGAAGAGAGACAGAGCCATATGAAATAAAACCCTTGCAATGAGTCTATCCTCATGAAACATTTCGTAATAATAGTTCAGATATCTGCCCATATCTCTTACGAGGTGCTAGTTTAACCTCTGATTTGCTAGTAGACTGAGTGACTATGGCAAACAATTATGTATGTCTAAAAAAAAGTGTCACTGATGTTATAAACATTTTGAGTAGCTCTGCTCTAGGATATATATTAATCATATTTGTTCTGTTTGTATTTATAAAACCTGTGCACATTGTTGAACTTTTTTTTTAGGTCTCACACATGTGACTTGATCAAAGCTTACCTAACCCACTGTGACACAGCTGAGGCGGCAGAGTGCCTGATATCCCTTGTATCAAACAGAGGGGGCCATTCTCTGGAGAGTCCAAACATCGGCAGTAATGTTGGCCTGGAATTTGGGCCGAATGGTGGAGTGCAGGCAGTCTTCATAAAGGAAAAACAGTAAGCTTCTTTGGTGAGATCCACGATAATCTCCCCAGCCGAACTACTTTGCTTTCCATTCATTGATTGTTTAGACTCATCTGCTGTCCTGTGGGTCTGGCTTGTCTTGCATTTACGTTTTTCTTCCAAAAAAAGAGAATACCTGTTCATAGGTTGCAGTAATCTCTAGAGGGGTTGTGGGTTAGACCCAGTTTGTAAATGTTTTTTAGTGTCAAAAGCGGTGTCGTGCTTAAATATACAACACGCTATATGAACGGATTGTCGAACACCCCCCTATCAGTGTGCGAAGGTCGGGTGACTGGAGGCCGACCAATCAAGAGCGAGCTAGTGTGTACTGTGGGGAGAATATCGTGGATCATCCCGGTTATTTGCCTTCTTTTCATTCATTTCGAATCAGATTGTATTTTCTCTTTGTGGGTACCATGGGGTTCCATTGTTTTAGGGGGAAGATAAATTATACCCATTATTCCTAAAAAGTCAATAAATATGGATTTGCTGAAATTTTATGAGTGGGCTAAAAGGTGCAGATATCACAGCCTAGCTGTATACCTTAACGTGCCAACCGCCTTTCAAGGGTGAGTGCAGAAGAAGTCTTTATGTCTTAATCTGTCTATGGAACATTTAAGTTGTTACAGTGTTCTCCAGTTGTGTTGCCAGTGAAACTTGCTTGTTTCCTTGATGCTTGCACTTTTTTTTTTTTAAACATCCTCATTACTTGTTCTTCTTCTTTTGCCTTCTAACCCCATATGGAGCATAGGACCTCAACCAACTCATGCCAGGTCATCTTGTCCTTTGCTGTCACAATCAGCTCTCGTTATGTCTTTCCTCTCTTTTTATCTTCATTCTCTAGCTCCCTTCTCCATGTTTTTTTTGGGTCTTCCTTATTTCTGTACACCTGTGGTTTCCAGTGCAAAGACATTTTAGTGATAAGGTTTTCTCAATGTGTGTCCTATCCAAAACCAGCATCTTTTCTTGACCTCTTGAAGTCTTATATCCTAATCTATCTGTGTAACTAAGTTGTTAAATGTTGTCCAGTGTGGCCAGTGAAACTTGCTTGTTTCCTTCTGAGCTTCCTTTGTGCTTGTACTTTTTATTTTTTATTTTAACATCCTCATTATTTGTTGGCCTGTTCATATTTTTACTTAAAAAATTACAACTTGTTTGGTTTTTCATATTATTTACTGTAAAAGTGATATTTCTGTGACATATTGTTCACGAAATTCCTATAGTTGACAATGATATGTTAATATTTATTTACAAAAGTATTCTTTATTTCATTTCCTTTGGTAACAATTTCAATTTATTGCACAGGATATGTGTTGTATATTTAATAATACTGTTCGTGAACTATATTTTCTTACTTCTTTATTCCATATTTGCTTTGTTGCCTTTTCAAATCATTTTATCATTTAAAATAATAATAATTCAGAATCAAATTATCTGAAGAAATTAAGATTGCTTGATATAAAATGTAATGTATCTTCCAGTGTGAGTATTGTACTTGCTGATATTGATATTGAAATAAAGAAACTGACGTTATTCTGTTATCTTCATGCTGGGCTAATGGCTTGTCATCTCACGTAAATGAAGAGAATAGAAGGCTCCATGTTCACAATGAAAATCCTTTAACAGTTAACATTTATAAAGAGTAGGACATAATTCAGAAAAATGACAGGGCTCCACAGGGGAGGAAAGGTCTCAGAATTGCAGAGATCAGATCCATTGTATCTGGTCTACAGAGGTGGAAGGCTGAGCCAGTCAACAGCAACTGGTGAGCCAGCAACACACAGTATTATGGGTCTTAGTCTTAGTCGAGGTTTCAACTTCACTGTAATTGAGTCACCCCCATATTTACTGCATTCCTGTGCCAGTGAAAATCAAATGAAATGTCCCTTTCTGGCCCACTTAAAAAACTGGTGAACAAACAGTTCGGCCCGGCACAATCCAGAAATATGCACACACATTCAGTGCAAATGGCAGTTGCTGGAGGTGCCAGAACCAACAGTCCCAACCAGAAAATTTTAAGTAATTTAAACTACCCACAATATAATATTTTTACCTTGTGTCATTTCTAGGGGCCCCCTTTTGGGGGTGGGGGGGGGGATATAGACCCAATGCCCCTAAAAAGCATGTCGTAAAAGTCAACAAATAAGGGGTGTTTCCTTTAAAGTCAAAAGTGCCAAGCTCTGTAACAAGTCCAAAGTCTAGAAGTGGACAAACAACCAGAACTTTCTGGCTGAGTTTATAGCCGGTGAACGCTAAGAAGAAGATTATATTTTATGTTTGGAAATGTTACATTTGCAGGTTTGACCTGGACTCCTGGACTCAACCAGTGGAAAGTGTTATGGAGATCCTGTGTGGACTGAATTCAGACGCCATAACATCCCAGCTGTTCCTCTGCTTGTTGCAGGTAAACTTTCAGTGAAGCAGACAGGAGTTGCCTTTCCCTGTCTTTTAAAACTGCCATTTTACTGCCTGTGTTTTATTTACCATTGTTGTGGTGCAAATGGGTGGAAAGGGGAGGGGGGGGGGTGGTGCATGGCTAGTCCAGTTACCATGGACTGCACAGATTAGGATTTTATTTTTCCCTCTGATAGAAAAACCCACAACATCAGAGAGGATTCGACCCTGGGTCTCCCGCTTAAGAGCTTAGCGTCATTAACTGGTTAGCATCTGCTCGTGTCTTATATTACTAGCTTAGTAAAATAACAATTGGCAGGTTGTTTCAGGGGTTCGCCTCATCAGCTAACTGGCCACCTAACAGTATTTTATGGCAATAAAGTAATAATTATTCTAGTTATCGTATGAGATGACGAAACGTGATGCCTGTGCTCACCAGCACGACACATTATAATGATGAAAGTAATAATTCTCAAGTTGTAGAATTAAACCCCCCCCCCAAAAAAAATTTACTGGTTTTTTTTTTTTTTTGCATCTCTTTTTGTTATTCCAAAATTAGTGAATAAAATTTTTTTCAGATTAACGACAGCCTCAATTTTCAACTTAGAAAATTTTGGAAACCTCATAATCTGATGCACGGGAAAATGCGGTAAATTTACTCACCTTAAAAGAATTAGCAGCTCTGTATTATTCCCCTTGTCGCAACTTAAGTCATGCTTTTAGAATATAAATGAAAATGCGTCGCTGGTCATACAGTTTAAGTAAAGGACTCTTTTTCAGGCCATTGGCATATCATACTTTTATAGACCAAAATGGCACTTGATGTGTTATATGTATTGACATCGTAGCACATCCGCCCAACCCATAAATGCTCCTTGCTCCCACGCAGCAGTCATCTTGTCATCATGCTCACTGTACCCAGTTGAAGTTGATTAGCATTTCTTCTTTCTTTGTCCCGCAGCTGGTTTCTGCATGCCTGTACTCATTCAGTACCAATTTACAGTAGGTGGTTCATCATCTCTGAAATACAGCACATTCGGTACGTCTAAAAAGGGTATAGTTGGGAGATGTGAACCAGCGTCATTGCACACAGTTATAAACCATAAGTGCTCTGCCTCCAGTACGGAGAGCTGATAAGAATAGTCCGCCTGTGTCGCCGTTCACATGTAACTCTGTGGCTACAGCAACGTTCCTCCATTTACCCCAGAGTGTCAACACTGGTACCCATGTCCTAGAGGCTGGCCGGGAACTGCCTAGTTTCGAACACTGACCGTGGCTGCAGCAAATCAAAGCTGGATTTGAAAGCGAGCCTCTTATCGACTGCGCTAACGCGGTCCCCAGTACGCCAATCTGTCCATACTTCATCCTTCACTAACTAAGCCAGTGTGTCAGGCCTTTTATTTCCAATCACCCTGGCATGTCCTAGTGTGTACAGACAAGATAGTTTCTTGTGGTGTGGTTTGGTCAACATCATTCCAGCTGCCTTTACTTCCCAAGACATTTCCTAGTGCTCATTTGCTTAGGCTGGTGGATCTGGGAATCTTAGGTCATAAAAACAAAATACCTGTATTATGGATTTGAACCCAAAACCTTCATATGTGCAGACAAGCCTCTAGCTATTATGCTGCTGTGGTTCAGGGGGGAAAAACCTTTGCTTATACTTATCTTTTAAGATACCACTAGCAAAATTCCACCCGTTGGTTCTGGGGCCCAAATATGGAGAGGGGCATGTGTGTAAGAGTCAGCTAATTTGGAGTGTTTTCTTCAAAGGCGTAGTGCATCTGCCTGAGAGGCGAGGAACCAGCAGTCTGCATACAAATAAAAGTCAGATCTGTAAAACGGATGTTCACACAAAACTCAAGTTCTGGAACAAGACTAAACCCCAGAAGTAGACTAACAACCAGAACTTTCCACTGAAGTTTACAGCCGGTGAACACTAAGAAGAAGAAAAAGAACTAATTTTCAATTTATTTTGCAGCAGTTTATTGGCTCTTTAACTATTTGAATGTTTTTTTGGGTTTGTTTTAGAATCTCTCTGACATTGTAAGCACAGAGTCTGCTAGCATTGGTGTGGTCCTGCCTCCAAGAGTGTTGTCCACGAGCCAGCGGTCAGCCAAATTGGCAGAACTGAGAGAAAAGATTGCCTTGGTTAGCCTTCTGGCATCTTTGGGTGATAAATATGGAGACAAGGTGGTACAGAGCAGTCATCATGTCTTGATATTTGTGAAGGTAATTTGTACTGATTGTTTGTTGCATATGGTGAATGTTTAATTTTTTTTTTTTTTTTAAATGTGGCAGCTTGGTGCTCATCTGTTGGCTCAAAGTCTTGGGCTTAAATTTGTATCGTTTGATTTTAGCTTGTTTGTTAAACTGACCCTGGCTGCGAGGTTGACCCTGCCTTAATTTGGTACCAGCTAATGCCCCGGCAAGGAAAGATGGCCAGCATGATATTGATCACCTGTCTCCACCTCTCTCACCATACTCTGTGAGTCAGTTACAATTATGACATATGTGTACAGTTGATTCTCAAGCCAGCGGAAGGCAGCAGTGACTGCCTGCATCTCCATTCTCAGACTAGATGTTGTGATATCATATTCCAGGCTCTGTTGGGCTCAGCGACGTCCATTGGCTTTTGCTATTACTAGCGAAATATAGTTAAAATACCGAAACATATGGAAAAGGGGCTGACTGACTGACTTTCTACCCCACCAGGACATCACACGAGCGATAAACACCCGATGACACAAAGTGCCACCATGTGGACGAGGATCGGCGTGGAGAGGTCCCAGAAACCGCGTTCAGACAATTTGCCATTTTTATGGTCTGCATATATTGTGGCCCCTGGCAAAAGCCAGGATGGAGCTACTCCATGAAATAAATGTTCGCTCTTTGCTTTGTGCCTGCCCTATAGGATTTTTTCCACATTGCATTATGGTGTGTAGCTATCCTGGGGTATCTCACTTTTTTGCCCAACACATTCAGTTTCAGCAAACCCTTAATTAATCATCTTTCGTGACATAATAATTAAGGGAAATCTGTTTGAAAAAAAGGAGAAGAGGGGAAGGGGAGGGAATGGAAGAAAAATGTAAGATATGTGTCGGCCATCTTCTTTTTCATTTCCTCCAATTAGTTCATTGAAGTGTTGTATAAAGATCATCAGTGTGCTCTTTTCAATGCATTGTTAAAGTTGTGATTTGGCAGCCATGCAGCTTTAAATCTTCAGGCTTAAAGACCCCCCCACCCCCACCCTCCCCACTGATTGCTTGTAGTTTAATTGAATCTCTCTTCTTTCTTGTATTCTAATTGTATCTCTTTTCTGATTTCTTGTATTTTAATTGTGTCTCTTTTCTGATTTCTTGTATTTTAATTGTATCTCTTTTCTGATTTCCTGTTTTTTAATTGTTTTTCATCTTGTCACTCCGGTGCTGTTCTAAGACATCTTACCTCCGTCGTTATGATTTTGTGCTTATCAGTTTTTATAAGTATCCAGGTTTGACACTGGTAGTGTAAAGTTGGTTACAACAAAAATTATCTGTAAGATTTGCCTTATATGTCAGCTTCACAGAACAAGTTGCAATAAACAAATGCAGGATGTTGTGATGATTAGTAACCTCTATCAGCAGAACAAACATGAACACACACAAAAACACAACACACAGAAAAGCAAACAGACTCTAAAATTGCTGCCATACGATATTCAAATATTATGTAAGCTAACCTGGGTGCCAGGGTCAGTTATGGAAAAAAATCTGCCATGATGCGGATTTGAACACTAGACTTAGTGAGTCTAAAGCAGTAATATTCTGTTTCATTGAAGGCTACCTTGGAGCGCTGTGTCAAAATGTGCCAGTTGACCTTTGATGATGCTACACTGTCATTTGAGTGGGAAACTGTTTCCATGGCGATGGGATTGTTGACAGCCATTTTGAGTGGAGCTCTAATGGTAAGCTGCCAGTGTTAAAGTATATTAAACATTGTTGACCATTGTATTCCTTTGTATAGCAATTCGGTTGGAAAAAACTAAATTGTCAATTTTGTGTTTGTGAGTTGTTTACCACTGTTAGAGATGAGACAGTCGTGTTTGTTTCCCCAAACAGTGGATGAATTCTGGGTACATTTTGACACAAGCAGGTAGTGTGAAGAAACCAGCAATCCTCATCATCACGTGCCCTGCCGACTGGTGTAGGCATTCATGCATCTCCACAGATCTCTGTTCCTTGTTCTTTAGATCAGTTCCATTGATGATATCCCTCCATGTCGCCGACGCAGTCCATTCGTCGTAATTTTTCTTGGTCTGCCACTCCCTCTTCTACTGTTGATCTTCCCAGTAGTTACAACATTCTTCATAGCCTCCCCCCGCCCCCCTCCCCCCCCCCCCCCCCCCAATCAAACCAACAATAGTAGAAGTTTTTACCAGGGTGAAAAGATCCTGGGATGATGTGAAGATTGAGAACCTTGTCAAGTCATTCAAGAAGTTTGGCATTTCAGATACCACAGACGGAACTGAGGATGGGGTAACATTTGAAGACAGTGATTTGTCATCAGACACAAAGAACTATCATGTGGATGAGAGTTTTGACACTGTTGAGGAGTTTTCTGGATTCTGTGATGAATAAAACTTGAATTCCTTAACTTTAGATAGTCATATTATTTTCTCAAATTCTGGTCCCAAAATCAAGGTGTGTCTTATACATGGATCATCTTGTGCTTGAGGAATACAGAAACTCAGTCTTTCCAATTTTATTGACCTTGGACCTGTGTAGGTCTATGGAACTAAATTGTCAAATTTGTGTTTGTGAGTTGTTTACCACTGTTAGAGATGAGACAGTCGTGTTTGTTTCCCCAAACAGTGGATGAATTCTGGGTACATTTTGACACAAGCAGGTAGTGTGAAGAAACATAAGGGGTCCATAATATCGTTTAAAAACATTCCCTCAGTTTAAGAATGCAATCCTTTTAAAAAAAAAACACTATTCTAGTATTCATTAATCATAAGTTTTTCAGTGTGACTATAAAAATGTATGGGAAGATGGCAGACCTTTGATACAAGAGCGCTTGCGAGCTTGGCTAATAGGGAACCTACTTTGTCCCAATTGTTACATAATTGTTGCCCCCTTGCTGTGTAATACCTAACTTTTTTTTTTAGGTTAACCTGTGGTCATAGTGTCAAAGTAAGGTGGCACATATTCCTATCAATGCAGTTCCAGCACTGGCCACCAACCTGACCTCTGAACTGTGAACATGTGACATCTTAAAAAAAAAAACGCCTTTACTGCCTGTATTTACCACATGTAGGATTGGGGGGTGCATGAGCCTGGGGACTAAAGGCTATGTGAATGGTGCAGTAGTCAGTAAATACAGATTGTGCAGATTAGGATCCCCCCCTCCCCCAGAAACAAAAACTTCATCCTTTACTGAGGATCTAAACCAGGTATTTTACATAAGAGTCTTTTGCTCTAATCACTGAGATAACCATCGCTCTTATTAAAACTGAATACAAAACTTGCGTACCTCAGCTAAATAACCTGAGATGAAATTGGAAAGTTTACTACAAATGAGGCTTATGAATGTTTTATGTTCAAATGTTAAATGATACTTTGACAGCTATCGGATGTTCAAATGTTAAATGATACTTTGACAGTTATCAGATGTTCAAATGTTAAATGATACTTTGACAGTTATCGGATGTTCAAATGTTAAATGATACTTTGACAGTTATCGGATGTTCAAATGTTAAATGATACTTTGACAGTTATCGGATGTTCAAATATTAAATGATACTTTGACAGTTATCGGATGTTCAAATGTTAAATGATACTTTGACAGTTATCGGATGTTCAAATGTTAAATGATGCTTTGACAGTTATCGGATGTTCAAATGTTAAATGATACTTTGACAGTTATCGGATGTTCAAATGTTAAATGATGCTTTGACAGTTATCGGATGTTCAAATGTTAAATGATGCTTTGACAGTTATCGGATGTTCAAATGTTAAATGATGCTTTGACAGTTATCGGATGTTCAAATGTTAAATGATGCTTTGACAGTTATCGAATGTTCAAATGTTAAATGATACTTTGACAGTTATCGGATGTTCAAATGTTAAATGATACTTTGACAGTTATCGGATGTTCAAATGTTAAATGATACTTTGACAGTTATCGGATGCTGACAAGAAGATTCTGGATGAAATACTGCCTCTGCTGACAGCAGTTTCTGATTGTGATAGTGCTGAACCAGCTGTGAAGGAAATGGCTGACGATCTCAAAGTTGCTGTGGCTACCAGAGGTTTGGTCTGGGCCGAGATCAGCAAACTGAGGAAAACCAGAACGGAGCAGAACAAGGTAGGTATCTTCTTGTTGGGTGCATGTACAATCATGGAACAAAATAATTCTATCATAATGTGGATATGGACAGTTATCAAGCACTTATAATGTTGAACTGAATGAAGCTCTGGAGATGTGAGTATACAACAAAAATATGTGTTGTGTTTCACAGAAATGAAATTAGGTAAGTACAGAGATTTTCTAGGGAGACTGGAAATGAAAAGAGATTTGAAAGAAATGGAAGCAAGTTAAATATTTCCGTCACATTTAAATAAAATCTGAATGGTAGCACTTTGTGTCACCGGGTGTTTATCGCTCATTATGCGCTCCTGGTGGGGTTGAACTTCATTCATTCAACAATAACTGCACTATAATTTATTAAAACACTAATACAAAACTGCAGTAAAGAACTGTCAATAATTCTCTGTATATCCTTTCTCATACTCCACTTGTCAGCTGTTATCCATCATACTGTTATCCATTTTGCCCGTTTGTCCCCAAAAGCCTCTTGTGCAACTCATTTGCACAATTCAAGTCTTCACATTCATGTTTGCAGTGTTGGCTTTAAGTATACTCAATTAGATATTCCTGTTGTAAGACTAAAACTTATCAAGCTCATGGCCTAGTGCTAGACCTACATTTGATAGACCATCTGACACTCAGTTGGTGATGTGGTCAGCATCACACCACACATGCACGACTCATATTTGATCGATGTCTCAGCTAGAGACTTTAGTAGTTATCCTTGAAAAATATACCTAGCTGTATGTTTAAATACCTAGCCATATTTTTCTCTTATGCTTAGACCAGATGTAAAAACATAACACAACATTTATTGACCTGGACACTTGCTGATTACACATGGTATATTTTTTTGGAATAGAAATCGTTATTAATTTCTTTTCTTTTTTCTTTCTAAACTTTCATTGGCACTAGATTGAACTGAATTTATTTGTTCAAAACAGTATTGAATATTTCATGTTAATCTATCAGAAACCTGAGACAAGCAAACCTGTACAAATGAAGCAAAACAAACCTTTGATACAAGTTCTCTCAGAAACATCCATAGAGGAAGGTCAGCCGAAGGCTTCAGATGCTGATGTAACAGAGGATATAGAAATGACGTGTGAAAGTGGTAAGTGTCTAGAGGTGTGAATGGATGAATATTTGAATGAATAAATCTGTCGAGAATGGAGGGTTTAGATGCTGCTGTTACAGAAGACATAGACATAACGTGTGAAAGTGGTAAGTGTTTAGAGGTGTGAAAGGACAAATAGATGAATGAATAAATCTGTCAAGAATGGACATCACCGCACTCACATTTCCGTGCGGTATCGTCTCATCTGTCAGTAGCCACTGAAGAGCAGCATCCCCGACCTTTGTCATCTGTGGCAGTGTCCTCCGTGTTCTTTCAGTAATATTTGTTTCTGTCTCACATCTCATCTGCATGTGTGTTTTTAGATCTGCCTCTGTTTCTTTTACCTTGTGAGTTCTTAATATACTGTGAAGATTTTCTCAGTGTGTACCCTGTGCATTGCTATTATATTTCCCTCACTGTTTAATTTGCTAGAATTTTAGTTCTAAAAATAAATCGCTACAGATTGGACACCTTGCATGAGTTGATTCATGCCCTTACCAGAGGGTCTGGCCGGCTCACTACACTCAAAGGAAAGGCAAGATGGACATAGATTGTGACTGGTACCATCAGAATTGGAACTCTGCGCTGGCTTCTGAAGATGAGGACAGAGCATGAATAGAAATGCCCCGAGTGCTGTGATGAAAATTCTTGGCTCAACTCAACCCAACTGATTCATGCCCTATGCTCCTTTGAAAGAAATAAAAAGCACAGGAATAAGAGACAGCTGATGTTTATTTGTTCAGACAGCTGAACTGACCTGATGGTGAAAGGCATTACACTGAATGCGTAAAGAACCGTCTCTGGTGGTCACTGACCCCTTAAATAACTCCTGTCAGCATCTGTTATATCATAGTTTTGTCATCCAGCTTCTGAGTGGAGTGCATGGTGTGACACTGTGAGCTACGTGTGTTTTTCGTTGGCACAGGAGCGGAGCAACTATGGAGTGACCTGTTTGCTATGAAGCTGAAACTAGGATTACCAGATTACCAGATCTGTTATATCAATTGTTCACCATTTTCAGAATCTTCACTTGATGCATCTAAACCTGCTGGTATAAGCAAGCTAGAGAAGGCTTTAGAGGATTTGTGTGACCCACTGTTGCCTGTCAAAGGCCATGGCCTGATCAGTCTAGCCAGGATGGTTGAGGACAGAGATGGTGAGGTTAAGGACAAACAAGAAATGTTATTGAAGGTTAGTGTATTTGGATCATAATGGTTTTTTTCAAATTAAGAAATTGTAGGCATAGAATTGTAAGATTTGTTTAGCTGTTGTATTTTGAGACTTGTTTGCAGTTGAAGTCCTTGTCTCTTTAGGAATTGTCTTCTTTTAGGCATGTCATGATCAGAATTGTTGTCTTTCTTCCTGTGTGGGTTAGGTGCCCTGTTGTGGGGGAAACAACAAGAATAAACCCACTGTCTTCTAACAAGCATTTAATAAAACTCAGCTAATTAATTAGGGGTGTTTCCTTCGAAGTCGGAGCACATCTGCCTTAGAGGCGAGGAACCAATAGTCTGCACACAGATAAGCCAGATCTGTCATATGGATGTGCATGCAGGATTCAGTTTCTGGAATAAGGCAAGTTAGGGAGTGGATTAGCAATCGAAATATTCCACAAGAATTTACAGCCTGTGAACATGAAGAAAGTGAAGTTATCTTTCACTCTACCTTGCTACCATAATAAGTAAAACATAAAGGTTCAGTTTCCATGCCCTGAAACATACTGGATATATAGTGTTTGCGCATATTTGTATGGACCAGTCAGTACTTCTTGTGATGCCAGTATCACACCAGCCGTCTTTACTCCCCACAACATTTCCTGGTGCCCATTTTAGACTGGAACAACCTTGGAAGCGCAGGTCAGTATTTGAAATAAATTCTGTGCATTAATGGGGGTTCGGCTACGTTACCTGCAGTCTTGTATTTAAGGCCTAACAAATTTGAAAAAAGGAGCTGTAGTGGCATAGTACTTCAAAAAGTGAGCTTCATTCTCTGGTCGACCCAGCCTAAAATAAGTAGCAGGTAACATTCTGAAAACTATAGGTGACTGACAAGGTGTTTACGACGTTTCCCCACTGAGTGCCGAGTGGTCTTTAAAAACGATGTCTAGCACTTTATGTCGACGTCTGTGGCTTAGGCATTGCGAACGCGCTTCGTAATGCCGGGGTGCCGGTTCGATTCCAGCTGCGGGCCTTGCCTTAGTTTCGACAGTGGTATCAAGAAGCCTACCGTCCAGAAAGCAACGGCAAACTACTGGACGTAAATTTGCCTAGAAGAACCACAACAGCCAAAAGATACTGAGGTTGGTTATGCAATGTCCTGTAAAGGATACACAACTGACTTTAACTAGCACTGTATACCTGATGTTCTAAAGGCATGAATATGGTCCATTAAAGTAGATAGTGACTAATTTGAAAATGGTTTAAAAAAAAAAAAAAAAAAATGTTTTCCTAAACAGAATAGACAGGCAGTAAAGATATCAGTCTCTGGCATATAAAGACACTTATGGTAGTTGTCAGTTTATGAAGGCCAGAAAAATAAACCTCGTCATAAATAAGTCATCTTCTTTGAAAGGCGAGGTTGGCACATTCTGATGTGGTTCAAACACATCCCATTTCACCTAAACCATAACTAATCGCCTTTTATGACATGCTTGGTTGGGGGGTGGGGGGGGGGGTATGCAGTGGATCTGTTCTCCCCCACCTATTGGGGCCTTGGAACCTCCTCTGAAAAAGAAGTCTTAAAATAGATGGATCTGGCATAAGATGTTTTGAATGCTGTACTCCAGTGGGAAGGAACAGAAGGGTAAAAATAATGTATTTGAGGCTATGTAAGGTAAATGATTGGGAGTATATGCAATTCATTTCTGTTCTTGATCCTTCTTACAGATTTTCCTGGAAAACATTGCTCATGCAGACTCCTATATTTACCTTGCTGCTGTGAATGGCCTGGCTGCACTCAGTGACCTGTACCCTGACCAGGTTATTCCTTGTTTGACCTCAGAATTTAGGTCGATGTGTGCCAAAACACACAGCTCCAAATCTGGAGAGACCGCTTTAAAAGTTGGAGAATCACTTGTGAAAGCTACAAAGAGATTAGGTACTGAGAAAAATTAATTTGATGTTTTTTTTAATTCTTGTTAGGCGATATGAAATCTGCATGACTATTCAGTTGATAAGGAAGCCACTGTGGTATAGTAGCTAAAGGCTCGTTTGTGGATCCAAAGGTTGTATGTGTAGTGTAAAATGGTATTTTGAAAATGTACGATGCAGACATATACAATATACAGGCACAAAAGGTGTGCCAATTTTAGTCTACACTTTGGAAACTTCCGATAAGATGGCTCTGGCATGATAGCTGCTGCTTGCGAGTGTCAAGCTTCAGGATCTTGTCTGAATCTCTTTACCTCACCATGCAAGGATGTGTGGAAAGAAAAGAGATGATATGCAGTCTTCAAAAGCATCTAACACATAGACATCAAAAATGAAGAGAGGGGACACACTATGGGCAAAAACTGCCATCTTAGCACATGGTGACACATCACTGAGTGCATTTTCTCAGTTATGCCGGTATGATGGGGGTATTAAGGAGCTTGTTGCAATGGATGCAGGCAATACAGTTTTATTTTGTTGCTAACTAGTTGGCAGTGGAAGCAGTCAACATCCATATACTTTGCCATCTGATTGAACGTGTACCAAGTACTGTGATATGTATTCTTCTTCGTTAATATTTAGAGGTTCAGTTTGTGTGTATCACTAAAATCTTAGAGCGGGTATAGAGTGAGTGGAAGACCTCGGAAAAGATGAAGTAATGGCATTAAGAACACAACAGCCGTACAGAAATGAACATTAATCTTGATAGTGCTCTTGACAGAGCTCATCAACGAATGTTACATCTCCCCCCAACACTTCACTGAGGTACAAGGTGGAAGAGAAGATGAAGAAGTTTTTGATATTCCTTCCTGATAATGAAATTTCTTATGGTTCCAGGGGAGCTTACTCCAAAGTACCGTGATCTGCTGCTGCCAGTGATTCTGTGCGGTTGTCGCCATGACGATGCCCTTGTGAGAGCCAGTAGCTTGTCTGGACTGGCAGACGTATGCAAGCTTTTGAGATTTTCCATTGGACCTATGCTTCACGAGGTACAGATTTAAAAAAAATATTTTATGACATCAAAAAGTGGGATATGGCATTGTTTTGTCAACCTGTTTGACAGTATACCTAATGTCAACTTTATTGTTTTTAGATTTGCTGTCTTTACCCTTTCACTGTCCCCAGTCTGCCTTATAAAACAGCCACTTTGTGTGTTACTTTGTCTGGTCCCTAACCTTTGACCTCTATGACATGGGAAACCCTATCAGTAGCTTTGCTACTGTCAGCAGCGTGTTTGTAGTTATTGGAACACAGAAGCTCTCCTGCCATTTCATAGTGTAGACAAAACAGAGGAAAGATTACAGTTTTTAAATTAACTCCTTGTGTAACAAGCAACTCACCATCAGATCTTAGTTATGCTTGTCTTGGCTTTCTTTATCTTAGTAGACGCTCACCTGCAGATCAGAAGGTTGTGGGTTCATATCCTGGCCGAGCCAGACTTTAAAAAAACAAATATGACATTGGCTGCCTGGTCTACCCAGTGTAAATCGGTACCAGGTAAAGTCCTGGGAAGTAAGTATAGCTGGTGTTGTGCAGACCACATCGCCCATTAAGCTTCTAGCCCTATATGCCCATTGTGCCTGAAAGCATGAAAAGGGCCCCTCTACTTGTCTTAGTCAGTTGTTACATTAACTCATTCTATCTTAATTGTTAGTTTGATACTTTATGTCTCATGGTATTATTATTTTAGCTTTTTCACGCTGAAACAGTGACTGATTGTAGTAAAACTCTTGGGGTAGCATGAGCAACGGTAATTACCTCTGGCACTGAAAAAGTTCTGAGCTTCAGTGACAGAGTAACTAGCAAACTTACTTGCTAGCCCAGCAATTACACATTTGAATCACCATTAAGGCAGATTTTTTAAACTACAATTCTGTAAAACTGTTTTATTTGGTTGGTAAACATTAATATTTTATTTGCTTTTCATTTAGTATTTAAACTTTATTTCTTTCTTTCAAGGACTGTACAAGTAGTACATTTCTGTAAATATATACAGCATATATATTTTTTGAGGAAAAAAGTCAGTCTTCTTGACAGATCTGGCACCCCTCAGTTCCAGAAGGTGCTGAATTTTTAAAATGTCAACCTGTTCTTGTGAGAATGCAGCCAGACCAAACTGCATATGAGTCTTATTACAGCAAAACATCTGGGAGGAAGGCAAGGGGAAGACCGAGAAAGAGGTGGATAAATGATGTAGCAGAAACCTGCAAAAAGATGAACAAATCCATCACCCAAACCACCCGTGAAGCGAAAGACAGATACAGAAAACAACGACATTGGGCTACAACCTGGTTTCAGTGACACGACAAAAGAACAAGAACCTGTGCTAACAGTTATTGTTTGTTTTTCAGATTGTCACCTGTTGTCGGGATATCATTAAATCTGATCCAGATGCAGAACCCCGAAAAGCTGCTATACTGACTTTAACACTTCTGCTTCAAGGACTTGGCAGAGATGTACTCCAGGTAATACAGATGTGCTGTTGTTATGGAAGAAAAACCATCATTACTGCATTCTGTGGCTGGTTGCACGGTTAAAAACGCTGGTCTCACATGCAGTTAACCCTGGTTTGAATTCTCTATAAGGTCCTTGATTAGTTTCTGTCGGGAACAAAAATAAAATCCTAACCTGCACAGTTCATGGTGACAGCACTAGCCATGCGGTCCTAAATCCTCAGGCTCAAAGACTGTCTTTACCACAGAAAGTAATTGTCTGCATTTGTACCATTATTAGTATATCTGGGTTTAGTGAAGAAAAAGTCCCATAATTTCAAAGACCAGTCAATCAATGTACTCTCTTTCTCTCGGAAAGGGGGGGGGGGGTTTGAGGGGGGGATGGAACACGACCGGCTCCAGCTGATGGGCTGTGCTGCTCACGTCACTGGGTCAAGCTAACGTTTAAAGTTAACCATCCCACTTTTAACACCTACCAAAGAGGAGCAGCATTCTGTTATCCATTTAAAAAAAAAAAATATAAGTAAAGGGGTGAAACCTAATTAAATCTTTGGTGTATAAAGGTCCAGGCTGCTGATGCGTGTTTGTCAGCAGCAGGATATCACATGCTTAACACTCTTGACATCCTTAGCAGCAATATTGACAGGTTACATGACAGCTGCTTGATTATTGTATTTTTGTCACATTTTTCAGGTTTTCATTTGAATCCTCATGATGCATGTGTGTGTTTGTGTGCAGATATATATATCTGGACACTGAACTGCTTTATGATGCAGATGACTTGTAGAAGATTTAATGTGCTGTACACTGGAACAAACAGAATGTGTCTGTACCTCTTAATTCTGACTCAGTGGATTTTGGATATTAGCTGCTGGCTTAATTCTTTTGGTCCCAGCTGATGCCTGATTATAGCAATGATGATGATAACAAAAGCATGGGTATACGGCATCCATGCGGTCCAGATACACAGCGCACTATGGACTTGTGTTGTTGGATTGATTTAGTTTTATGATGGATAAATGTACAAAACATGTTTACTAGTGCACCCAAGTAATATCCAGTACTCATGGAGCATTTTTTTCGGACTGAAAGAGTTAAAAGACATTTTAAGTTACTTGTATTCTTTGTAAACTTGTTTGTGGCTAAAAGCCAGTTTAACATTCTTGACATATCAGGGTTCAAAGTCACTTGCAGATCTTCTTCTTTTCTTCTTCGCATTCACCGGCTGTTAGCTCCGATGGAAAGTTCTGGTTATTCACCCACCTCTGGAGTGTAGACTCGTTCCAGAACCTGAGTGTTGCGTGCACATTAATTTTACAGATCTGACTTATTTGTATGCAGACTGTCAGTTCCTTGCCTCTCAGGCAGATGCACTGCCACTTTGAAGGAAACTCCCAATCAGTCAACTCTTACATCGTGCTTGTTGGGGAGGCCTTGGGTCTATTCTTGTTTTCTCCACAGTGTGGCCCCGGAACTCACACAGGATACTTGCAGATGATTAGATAGCTGACCGCTTTGCAGTGATTTTTACAACTCTGTGAGCGTCATATCATTCAGAAAACAATGGCATCCCCATGTGGGTTCCGGGGCCCCATTGTGGGGAAAACCAGAATAGACCCACTGCCTACCCAAAAGCATGTCGTAAAAGTCTACTAATTGGGAGCTTTCTTTGAAGTCGGAGTGCATCTGCCTGAGAGGCAAGGAACCAACAGTCTGCATTCAAGTGAATCAGATCTGCAAAACTGATGCACACGCAACACTCAGGTTCTGGAGCAGGACTGCAGTCCAGGAGTGGACGAACAACCAGAACTTTTCGCCGGAGTGTACAGCTGGTGAACGCGAAGAAGAAGAAGAAGACAATGGCAAACTACTGAGCATAAAATTACTTAGTAAAACCACAATCAGCTAACATATTCTTTAACCTACTGGCCTTTTCTTATTTCTCCCCAGACTCTGAGTGATGTCTTGTTAGATATCTACAGAGTGCTGAAGCAGTCCTTCACCTTTGACCCTGATGAGAAGGTCAGATTTAATGCCAGCCTTGCACTTGGTGAGCTGGATGATATCATGAGAGAGGCTTTGTTTACCAAACCAGAGCTGAAAAAGACAATCACAATACTGGGCTATCAGTAACGAGACGTGGACATGTGAAATTCAACTACTGAGGTATTAGTCGGAGCTGTTGTGTGTAATACTACTGGGGTACCAGTAACAAGTAGTAAACTAACTTGTGAATTACTACTGTAATGCAAGTAACTTCTTCTTCTTCTTAGCGCTCACCGGCTGTTAACTCCTGGGGAAAGTTCTGGTTGTTCATCCACTTCTAGACTTTAGTCTTTTTCTAGAACGTGAATTTTGCATGCACATCCATTTTACAGATCTGCTTTTTTCTTCTCTTCTTCCTTCCATTCACCGGCTGCAAACTCCTGCTGAAAGTTATGGTTTCATCGACCTCTGGACTTTAGACTTGTTCCAGAACCTGAGTGTTTCATTCATATTCATTTTACAGATCTGACTTATTTATGTGCAGAATGTTGCCTCTCAGGCAGATGCACTCCGACTGCGAAGGAAACCCCCAGTTAGTCTAATCTTATGACATGCTTGTTAGGGAGGCAGTGGGTCTATTCTTGTTTTCCCCACAATGGGGTCCCGGAACCCACACAGGGATCTGCTTATTTGTATGCAGACTTTGGTACCTTGCCTTTCAGGCAGATGCGCTCCGACTTTGGATGGAAAAATCCCTAATTAGTTGCCAAATACAACATCCTTGAATAGGTAGACAGAAGGTCTATCTCCCCCCCCCCCCCCCCCCCCCCCCCCCCCCGGGAAATAGGACCCTGAAACCCACATGGGGAATGCAAGTAACAACTGGTGGATGTAAATTACTACGGGGTATCAGTAAAATTTTTCTGGCATTTCAGTGTCACTTAAACATGTGGAATATTACTAGGGTATCAGTAGAGGTTGATGTACATGTAAAATACTGCCATAATACCTGTGATGGAAATGTGAATTACTGACATCTTGAAAAATCTGAGTATCAAGGAAGATTGGCTAATAAACAGCATCATGTGTCGGACGCTATTTTGGTCGTATCAATATGACTGTACACATGTGTGCATGTGGGTGAGTGAAAGACTGAACAAACATACTGTTTTAAAAGGGTTAAAACTTGAGAGAGAGAAAGAGAGAGAGAAAGAAAGAAAGGCTGGTGTGGTGTCCTTTCATCACATCACGTTAAACTTATACTGCAGTCAGTCATGCAAAAGCAGTTGGACAAGACTAGATAACTTTCTGTCTCAAATAAGGACCATCTATGATTGACACATATTCTTATCAGTCATACATGATCTGTACTATGGTTTATGTTTAACTGACACATTATAACCATCATCCTTTTGAACTGTTTATGTCATACAGGGTTTGCAGTTGATTCATCCATTTCATTCACTTTCTCAGGATAGACCAACTCACCACATCCTAACATGATACTAGGAAATGTCTTCTTTCTCTTCTTCTCCACCACCTCACCCTCCTACTCTTTCTTCTTTTTCTCCTCCTCCTCCTCAAATGAATGCATATATATATATATATATATATATATATATATATATATATATATATATATATATATATACTTCACAGATCAAATGATTACCTTGTATTTTAGTGGAATTCATGTTTAAAACAATTATTTTGACCTTCATCGACTTTAAGAAGGCATTTGATAGCTTACAGAGAACATCACTGTTGGGAATGTTGGAATTCATTGGTATACCAGTATAAACAATAAACATTATTAAAACAATATATGAAGACTCAGAGTGTGCAATGTGAACAGATGATGGTTTCAGTGATTCGTTTGCAGTTTTGAAACTGGAATGAAAGAGGGATGTATTTTGTCTCCCTTGTTATTTGTGTAAAAGACTGGTGGAATACGTTGTTAGCATGTTAATAACTTTGCTTTGGATATACTTGCAAAACTCAAACTGGCTGGTCTGCAAATCAGAACTGTCTGGAAGTGCCCAGCGAGTCAAAAAAGTTAATATAATGCCTAGCGCAAGAAAAAACCACTTTGGTCTGTGGCAGTGACACTAGAAACATGTAGTCTACCTGTCGGTTGAGAAGCTTTACAGGGTTCAGTGGGACTGAGTCGAGAGATGGATTGGCTCACTGGTTTCATGTTTAGCGGTACCTTCAGTAGACAGACTGTGTTAGATCTAGATTTCCATGTGCATCCTGATGCTGAGATTTTTTATGGGTGTCCTTGGAGTAAGGGTAAACTCTCATTTTGTTAGCTAGAGTGATTAGCACATGGTCTGTTCGAACACCTTGTTGATTGTTATTGTACTATTATCTGTGAAGCATGCTAGTTTTGTATTCAGGGAAACAAATAGATGTTTCGTGTGATGATTATATTTCAATTGTTTGATTTAGAATAGGACTTGTAGTTCGTGCACATGGTCTGGCTAGGTGCTGCACATATTCATGGCCTTTGCCATGAGTAATATTTCATGGTCCCTTCGCCAAAATAACTACGTATTGTCCTAATCAAATTTCTTTTCTTGTCTCATTCCTTGTTCTTTCCTTTTTGTTTCCCGCTAACTCATTTGGGCTAACCACTGAATGGGTGATGAAGAAAATTACACATAACAGAACCATACCGTCTGCAAAATCCAGATCTTCCAGCTGTGTGCGTGTACTCCACCTAGTGTTTGCAACACATTTTTCTTTATCACCCATTTAGGGGTTAGGCCAAATAACATAGAGACAAATTAAATCCCCTTTTAACTCCAGTTTTACCAAGTAAGTACAGCAGTGACATGCAAAGAAAAACATAATTTTGCAAAAATAACATCAAATGTTGGACGTCGAATAGGTTATGAAAATATAAATGGATTAAAGACACCAGTAAAAGATCAAGCAGATATAACACTGGTTACAACAAGAATTAATGTAACATAACAATCTACTAATTTAGGCAATGATCTCTTATTAATATCTTACCCCAAACAGGGGAAATCCATAGATCACGGGATAGTCTAATATTTCACAGGTGGTGGAAGATAGGCTGCATGCAGTCGTGGAACCTAGGCTGCACTCTCTTGTGGGACGTAGGTATGTTGGGGTTAGGGCCAGTTCTAGATGTTTTGGGGGCCGTTAAAACATTAAAAAACCAGGAAACCCAGTCTTACCGCCCTCTAAAATGTTGGAATGTCCTGTGACGTCATCTAGGGTAGGCTATTAATAAAGCACCAATGATCGTGATAGAAACACACACACAAAGAAAGAAAGAAATTAAGACTTGCTTTGAAATGGCTCAGCATCTTTTGACAGTCTGAAGAAAATAAAGAACTCACATTTTAAATTATAATGTCATTTCAGTTTTAATATATGTCAGTGAAAGTTGGAGAATCACTAGAGACATGACATGAAAGTTTAATGCATTCGAAATAAAAAAAGGCCTGATAAAAATTATGAACATAAAGTCGGATAAATTCGGATGTAGAGATTAGAAAATAGTTGAGTTTGCAGGAATTTACATTGCAGCCCTCGGTGCATTTACATGTGTGCTCTGTCCTCATCTTCAGCAGCCAGCACAGACTTCCAATACTGATGGTACCGATCACAATCTAGTTATATGTCCGCCTTGCCTTTCCTCTGAGTGTAGTGAGCTGCCCAGACCCTCTGGTTACACCCAGGTGCCTCATTCTCTCCAGACCATAATAATCTTGTTTCTCTGCTAAGTCCGTTGCTTGTTCCCAAAAGGCCTTGTCGTGACTCAATTCACTACCCAGTGGTGAAGATCCAGCCAATTGGTCTGCCTGTTTATTACCCACCATTGCCTGGAGAAAAGATCCAAAATATGCGCACTACCCGTGAGCTTCCCAGCGAAGTTTGCCACTCTGCTCGAAGCATAAAGATCAGAAAAATGACTGGCAATCATTAGTATCAACAGTTATAAGACTGATTTGATTTGATTTGATTTGATTTAAGAACCGACATCACAGCACTCGGGGCACTCCCATAAGCGCTCCGTCCCCATGTTCAGCAGCCAGCGAAGAGTTCCGATACTAATGGTGCCAGTAGCATTTTGATTAAACGTCCGTCATGCATTTACTCTGAGCCTCGAGCATCTGCCAGAACTTCTTGTCACTTCCATGCCGCATCAATCTCACCAGACTGGTGAGATTGATGCGGCGGGGCGTGACGAGAGGTTCTGGCAGGTTATAAGACTAAGACAGAGAAGATTAGGCAATGAAAACGTCCTAGCGAAACCTAAGACAGAGAAGATTAGACAACGAAAACGTCCAATCAAAACCTTAGACAGAGAAAATTAACAACGAAAACGTCAAATCGAAACTTTGAAGCTTTGACAAAAGACGCCAAAATTGCTAGACAGGATTCCATCTATGATTATCAAAATAATTTTACAGGATACCAAAAGAATGGAAGAATACACTGCGAGCTCCATGTAGCATATGTAGGGGGACAACAGGACAGTGAATATATTACGTATTTATATGTAAATACTTACTGGCACCATTGTGTGTGTGTTTTTTTCTGACGCAAGGGAAGTAACCCATTTAATAAAATCTTTGCTTTGCAAAAAACAAGTAATTTAAATTTCTTAAATGAAAGTCGTGTAAAAATGGAATATTTTTTTTCAAAACTAAATCAAAGGAAACTGACTAAAAAATTCTTATATCAGGAGTGAAATTCAGAAACTGTGTAGTAGTTATTACAATTTTATTATAAAATGTGAATTCAATATATGTGTTAGGCTGTAAACTATTTGTTTTGACAACGGTAGCGTCACTATTAAGCTGGTCATCAATAATTTATCGAGGAGGGGGAACAGCAAGCCGAAAAGCTTGTTTCCCCCTTAATTTTGAAATCATGTGAATGGGTTAGTTAGTTAGTTGTGTTAGCATCATTGCACTCCGGACATGTCCATAGGTGCTCATAACCTCCATTCAGTATGTACCTCAACTTCCGATGGCTAATAGTAATAGTTATGTGTTGATTAACAAGTCACCTGATGTGCCTGGTGTGCGTCTCGTTGTTTGATATGCCGATCTTACCTTACAAGTTTATCATTCTGTTATGTAGATTCACTGTCCCGAAAGTTC